ACAGTAAGAGCTGTTCGACAGTGGAATTTGCTGCCAAGGAGTGTGGTGGAGTCTCCTTCTTTGGAGGTCTTTAAGCAGAGGCTTGACAACCATATGTCAGGAGTGCTCTGATGGTGTTTCCTGCTTGGCAGGGGGTTGGACTCGATGGCCCTTGTGGTCTCTTCCAACTCTATGATTCTATGATTCTATGAGTCATGGGAGACTTAAACCTGCCAGGAGCAATGCCTCAATGTCTTCCACGTGCAATGTGTCAGGAAGATTTTGAGCAGGACAGAATCTCAAACAAAGATGTGTTCTCCCAAGCTCACATTCCCAACATGTTCGTACTCCTGTCTCAGCGACGTCTATACTGGCTTGGTCATGTTCACAGAATGGAAGATTGCAGGATCCCCAAGGATGTGTTCTACAGGGAGCAGGCACCAGACCTGTTGGCAGACCAAGTCTACATTACAAAGATGTCTACAAGTGTGGGAATCAAATTTGCAGGCTATTTCAGACAGTCCCTTTTTATAACAAGAACAACAACAAAAAGGAAGTGGGAGTGAATCAGAATTAGTTTCAAAGGAAAGTGTTTATGAGCAAATCTGTTCATATCATGGATATTCAAATCTGTTCACATCATGGAAGACTTTTTTTATTTTAAAAAATGACTTTGGTGCAAAAACAAACATGCAAAAGTGAATATCCTACAAAAATGAAAATGGGATTGACAGGAGTGAATGGGCAACATTCAAAGAGGCAAATGAAGTTCAAAAGGGAAAGTTGAATGAATCACCAATTTCATGTTTGGTTTCTCAATGTGTCTATTATGCTGCTAGGGGAAAACCCTCTTGAGCAGGTGGCCTTACCAACATTGTAAATAACAGGCAGGAGCAAAACACAGAATCCGCAAGTTTAGAGATCCAGGCAGTTGCTGCTTTTGTTATAGCTTCCTGCAATTGAAAATAGCATAGTTAGAGAACCCTGGGAAAGTAAATATTTGAAACCAAAAGAGAAGGAGTAAACAAGAAGTAGAAGCACATATAGGTTAATATATCTGCATTCCGTTACAGAGATAGCTAACCGGTGACCCATGGGCCAAATATAGCCCCAACTAATATTGCCCAGCAATATTATTGTGGAATATTGCACAATTTTGTGGATGCTACAACAAATTTCAGTCAAATCTTGGTTAAGCAATTTCTCCTCAGTATCCCTTCTGAGGTAAAGCAAAATGTTTTCACAATTAAAGCAATAGAGAGATTAGGGACATAGGGAGATGCATTATGTATTCTAGCTCCCCATTACTGGCACTGACTGAGAGTGGCTTTCCAGGATTTCAGACAGGGTTCTTTCCCAGCCTTACCTGGGAATTAAACCTGAGTCCTTCTGCAAAGGAGATTCCCTACCTCTGAGCTAAAACTTTCTCTTTCGAATTGTGTATGTTAAGTGGGTTTAGTAGGAGGTAAACGTATATGTGTCTGTGTGTGTTGTGTGTGTGTCAGTAAAATGAGATAAAACAGCTAACTAGCAAATAAACTAAAACATGACAACTTTAAAATGCCATGCAAAAGGATGTTAAGTGCCCCTGGGAACATAGGAATCTGCCTTATATAGAATCAGACCATTGGTGTCTCTAGCCCAGTCTTGTCTGCATTGACTGGCAGAAGCTCTCCAGGGTGTTGGATGAAGCTTTCTCCCAGCCCTACCTGGAGATGCTGAGGATCTTCTGGGAACTTCTGCATGCAAAGCAAATGCTGTACCTAACAGGAAGGGCCATAACTTAGGAGCAGAGCATCTGCTTTGCATGCAGAAAAGAACAGTGTTTAAGAAACGTGCACCAGGACTTATTTCTGGGCAGAAATTCATTGCACAATTGCAGAATTCACAAGAATTATGCATTTCCTACAGAAGAGACACAAAGCTTTTGAATCCTGTATGTATGAGCGCACATATATGTCTTCATGTAACTCATCCACGCTTCCATTTCCCTTGCTGCTTTTGCCCAGGAGATCCTATTCTTTGGTCAAATCAGAGCAAATGTCAATTGGGTTTTCTCCGAATTGACATTTGATCTGATTTAGTGCTAAAGAGAGAGTTTTCTGGGGGAAAGGAGAGGGGCAAAGGGAAAACCGCTCAGCCTAGAAAGCACAGAACAAGTGGAAGTGTCGGTGAGCTTTGTCTCTATGGAACTTACGTCTCTGGATGTTTACCAAGTGCATGCAACGGTGCCAGTGTCTTTTTTTTTCTTTTTAAGGAGAAAGGTAATTTCTGGGAAGAGAGCCAGTGGCTCTTACGCAACAGGGCAGTTTACAGACTTGTTGGCATTTGAGACAGTAACGTTTTCATGCAGGTGTAAACAAAGAAGAAGCAATGCAACATGGATGCAACATATTCCTTTGCAAACTTGTACAGACAATAATGTCATCTTTCTTCAAACTTCCTGATGGGAGTTGGAGAAAGCCTTGTAGGCAATTTAGTTCAACTCCCCTGGTTAATATAGGAAACCCAGATGTTCTTGTGAAGCTGGTGCACGTTCTTATACTGTGGAGTAAACACTCTCCATGATTGTTTTCACTGTGCACACATTTACAGCCTCCAAATTGAAGGTGGACTTCTTTTTCCTCTTCGTTCATGGAAATGTAGAGTTGGAAAGGGACCCTGAGGAGTCCAACTTCCTGCAATGCAGGAAAATGCAGCTGTCCCATACAGGGATCGAACCTTCAACCTTGGCGTTATCAGCACCACACTCTTACCAACTGATCTATCCAGCTAATCTATCAAGCAAGCTGTCCACTTTCCTGTTTCCCCAAATATTTCTAGCATGTTTACCCACAGAAACATTTGTTCAGTGATATCCCCACCCCCAAGTCATCTATCTGTGTTCTTCTTGTTTTACTGTTGTTTTAATGTGACTGACACAATCAGTACTTAGCACACTCCCACCAGTCACAAATAGGAAGAGCAAGTTTCCCCGAACTCCGTCTGTGTGCAAAGAGGGCACCTGTGTCCACTGAGCATCTCTTTTTGCTAAGCTTCCTGCAAATAACCACAAAAACAGGCAGTAAAATGCAAAGGAAACTGATCACTTCTCACTAGGCATATTCATTCTTTCTTGCAGCCGTTTCATACATGAGGTTATTTCCCCCCCAATAGTTTGCTGTAAGTTAAAACAGGCAAAGAGGAACAGGATCCTATTATCTATCTCGTTATCTCTATACATTATTCAAATATTCACTTGCTGTAGCTTTTGTGTGCAAACCAAGGACAAATAATTGCACCAGGAAAAGGAAGGACAAAGTTTCCCTTGCAGCAGGAGAATAAACAGTCCTGTTTGTTTTAGCCACTGCTACTTGTACGTGCAGACAAATGCACCGAAGGCAAGCTTTGTAGAATGCAGTGGTCAGGTAGCAACGATCTTTTCCCTATGAAAACCCTAGTCTCTTCTTGCCCCCAGCCCTATAGCCACCTTGTTTCCCATTACAGCCAGCAGACATTCTCCACAACAGCAGTAGTCTTATTTCACAATGTTCATCAGGAACGAGTGCTTTTCCTCCCCTATATGAGTTTCATCCCTTGCTTCCTGGGCAGCAGCTGCTGTTAAAAAAATGAGAGGCAGAACGTGGAGCTGGGATAGGCTTTCTTCTCCAGCCCAAGGGCCACTTACTCCGATGAACAACCTTCCAGGGGCCACATCCCCAGTGAGGGGCACAGGCAAAAGCATGTGGGGCAATGGATGCATGACTGTGTGAAGATGAATTTCATCCACACAAGAGTCATTGATGTCTCTATCAAGGCAGGCAAGCAAGATCCGCTATCACAGGTCAAAGGAACATTCCATCCAGGCAAAGAAGAAGGCATGGAGCAGGGCTGAAGGGGCACATTTGGGTCATGTGGATTCCCCACCCCTAGTGTAGGGCAAAGGCATAGCCTGGTCCATGCACACACTGTCATTCAATGTGGTGGTAGAGCAAGAGAACAAAGCCCTGGCTCTCACTAAGCATGCCGAGGCAACATGTGAAATATACACTGCCTACCCATAGATGCAATGGTTTAATTCATGACATCTTCCCACCTCATTTATTTGAGGGGAAAGAATCATTGTCCACATGGGCCTCTTTGCACCCTGCGGTGAGCAGTGTGTGCTGCTCCTCTGCCACCCAAATTGTAGCCCTGGCCTGGTGTATATGTATGAGTCAGGCCGTAGAATCGCAACTTCCTTGGAATGTCATTTCAAAGATCGGTGAATGAGTTCATTCATTCTTGGAATCTGAATTATTGGGGTGCTTTCTTAAAAACCTATTTGAGATTGCATTAATTCGTTGTGTATGCCACAATTCTCTTTTCCAGAACCAGTGTTCTACTGATTGCGTTCCAATTGACCTCATGTTCGGTTGACTAAAGCTGAAAAGTATTTATGCTTATGTCCCATTGTCTCAGTCCCATTGATTTCAATGACTGAGGGAAAGGACATGCTTAAATCATTTCTCGAAATTAATGAGACTTAAAGCGGACTGTTCACCTTGTAATAAAAGGTTGGATGGCCATTGGTCATAGATGATCTAATTGAGCTTCCTGCATTGCATAATGTTGTTAAGGACAGGAGAGCGCTGCAGGCAAAAACAAGCAAGATGCATTAACAGTCATGAGATTCCTGCATTACAGGGGGTTGGGCTAGATGACCCTTGGATGTCCCTTCCAACTCTATAATTCTGTGTTAACTCTACAGCTGTGCGGTTTGCTTTTGTGGTGTGCAGAAACACACTCTCCTCGCACTCAGGGACGTTCTCCTCTTCACTGTGGCTTCACTGTGGTAACAACAACTAAGAGCCTCGGAATAGCCTAGCTAAATCGGGTCGACAAGCCCAAGAAGGAAAAGGACTGCCCTCATTTCATATCTGAACTGACGAGGACCACCCAACAGCTTTCGGAGCTAAGCGCGGAGTAAACCGCGCCCGGCTTCCCTGCCCTCTCGGGATTTCGCGCCTTTTCGATAATTGCCTCTCGGTTGCCAAGCCAACGCGCGGGGCTGGGCTTCGACCTGCTTGGGCTGCTGCTGCTGCTGCAGCCGCCGCCACTTCCCCTCCGGATGCGTCCTCGCCCGCCCCCCACCCTCCGGCCGCGCTGCCTCGCAGCTCATCCTCCTCCGCGCGAGGGACGTTTCCCCCCAGCGCCTCGCCTCCGTGCACAATGACCAGCGGCCAGGAGTGCGGGCAGGTGCAGGCCAGGTGAGCCCGGGGCCCAGCGCGCGGGAAGCGGGCGGCGGCGAGGCGAGGCGAGGGTACCTCGGCGAGGCTCGAGTGGCACCAGCGCCGAGCCCTCGCTCGCTCGTTTCGGCGCCAAAGGTCGCCCACCCCGCGCGCGAGGAGAGCGGCTTGGAGCGCGAGCGCGCGCGCTTCCTCGCGTCCCCGGCGCCTGGACGTGGCGGCGGAGGGAGCACGCGGCGCTCGGCGCGATAACAACAACAACAACAATGAAGGGCGCCATTGCATAAGCCGAGGAGGATAATAAGTCCTGGCACTGAGGGGAGGGAGGATGGCGGGAACGTTTCCACACCGTCGCCAAGGATGGGGGAAATGAGGGATGGGGGACATGAATCGATCCCTTCGCTCGAGGGGCGGTGTTCTGTGGTTCTTTGTGCCTTCCCCTCTTCTTCACGGAGGCAGGGGAAGTCCCCCCACCACCCGGTGCTCGGCTCCCCTCTCCCCACAGCCGCTGGGCGCGTCTCTTTCTCCTGAGGGAAGGCGCTGGCGGGGCGCGCGCGCCTTTGGGAGAGGCAGAGTGGAAGATGGAGACGAAGGCTGCGCGCGATGATGGACCCCGGGGCCGGTGATTTCGCCTTGCTCCTCCGTGATCCGGAGGCAGGGCTGGGCATGGGGAGAGGGCCGCGTTTGCTGACTGGTAGGTAGTCAAAGCGAGGGTAGGGTAGTCAAACCGAAACGGAATACAGAAGAGCTCGCCAGGCGGAATGGAGTGTGGCCTGGATAGCTCAGTTGGTTAGAGCGTGGTGCTGAGAACAGCGAGGTTGCGGGTTCGATCCCTTGCAGATTCCTGAAGTTGCGCTGACCAAAGGATCCTCGGGGACCCTTCCAACTCTATGATTGTATGGTGCTACGCACCTATGATTCTAAGTGTGTGGTGGTGTAAGTAGGTTTCAAGGGACCCGCACAGAGACAAAGAAATACCCACACCACATATTTGCACTCTCCATCTGTGGGAAAAGTGAAATGAAGGTTGGTGATCCTTTAGGAAAGGGATCAGAAGCAAAGCTTGCATGGTGCCACCTAACAAATCCAGGATGTGACCCCCCCCACCTGCCGGAATGGTATGCGCCATTCTGATCCACTGCACCTCAAAATGGATATTGTAGGCAGAAAAAGTTACCCAAGATGATCTCTCTCCAGAAAGGTTGCAAAGTTTGGGGGCCTTGGGGGTAAATGGGAGCATGATAGAGGTGCATAAAATTATGCATTGTGTAGGGAAATTGGATGGGGAGAAGTTTCTTTCATGATACTAGAACCCAGGGCCATCCACTGAAGTAGCTAATTAGCTGGAGATTCAGGATAAACAAATGGAAGTACAGTGGTACCTCAGGTTAAGAACTTAATTCGTTCTGGAGGTCTGTTCTTAACCTGAAGCACCACTTTAGCTAATGGGGCCTCCCGCTGCTGCCGCGCCACCGGAGCATAATTCCTGTTCTCATCCTGAAGCAAAGTTCTTAACTTGAGGTAATATTTGTGGGTTAGTGGAGTCTGTAACCTTAACGGTATGTAACCTGAAGTGTATGTAACCCGAGGTACCACTGTACTCATTTGCACAGAATTTGCATAGCTGGGATGTTAGGGGAGAGGTAGTACTTCTGGTGGGGGACATGTCATGCTCCTTCTGGGGTAGTTAGTCCACCTGCACAGGAAAAACTTTAAGAACTTGAAATGTGCTACTTAAATACTAAGTATTATCCACTATAATCTCCAATAATAGGAGCATCAGCAGTAAAGGTAAAGGTTTTTTCTTTACCTAATAGGAGAATATTGGAATACTGTAGTGCCTTCCTTTAGAGAAATCCTTTATACAGCTTCAGACTCAGCACTTAAGGTGCAAGTAAAGAAATAGGTCCTTACCAGCAGTCAGGATGCTTTTCAGCTCTTTACTGAAATGCCTGAAGGCAACATCTCTTTCCCTGCTCCCAAAATAACCATACACGGTTTCTTAGGCTAGACCTCTGTTCTAGGTCTGTAATTTTTTTGACCCACATATTCTGCAACTTTTGATTCAAGCAGCTGAGATGTATTGCTTGAGAAGAGTGATACTTTCAATATTACTAATAAGCGGAACAGAAGAAATATAAGTAAAAGCAAATGGTGGGTATGAGACAGGAAATACTGCTTAAATACTGTATGGCACTATTATATCCTTTGTTCTGCTGCTATATTTCAGAGAAAGGACGAGTAAGGCTGGAGCTAGACACATCAAAGAAGTGATTCAGTTAAATGAATTGTAAACTTCATACAGTGGTACCTCAGGTTACAGATGCTTCAGGTTACAGACTCTGCTAACCCAGAAATAGTACCTCAGGTTAAGAACTTTGCTTCAGGATGAGAACAGAAATCGTGCGGCGGCAGTGAGAGGCCCCATTAGCTAAAGTGGTTCCTCAGGTTAAGAACAGTTTCAGGTTAAGAACGGACCTCCAGAACAAATTAAGTTCTTAACCCGAGGTACCACTGTACAGGAAAATCCCATTGGTGAAAAACGGGACTCCACAGCACCATCTGGTGTCACAGTGTTAAAACACATATAAAGTGCTTTATATTTACGAATGTATCTGAGTCCTAAGACAGAAGTGTGTAAAATTATGCATGGCATGGAGGAAGTGGTAAGGTGTTAAGTGGTACATCAATTGCTGAAATAAATATATAAATAAAACAAGCCATATTAAAATCTTTTAGTGTTTAATGCACCACTTCCCTCTTCTCATCCCTGATCACCTGATGTGCCACTATTTCAAATCTTACATTCTTTGCTGGTGCACTTGAACACAGGAAACAATGGTTTGCAATTAAACAAGGATCCCAAACCATGGTTTGAGCCAAGCATAAAAGCAAATGTAATTTGGTCAATCATGTGGTTTTGGACTGGATTTGCTGGGAATCTTGAATTACGGTGCATGGGGTAAAAGGAGGAGCCTGAGGACTGGTTATGCAAGGATTGCTAAATATATGGCTCGAGGTTACATCTGAATGCACCTAGTTATAGGCGTGGTTCACACCCTGTTTTGTCTCACAGAGTGATCACTTTTGCTACCTTGTCAGAGATAGAAAATTCTAGAGAAAAGTCTGAGGAGATTATGCAAAAACATATACCTCGTTGCCCCTGACAAAGATTCTTATCAAAAACACATTGAGCTTTTCATGGCCTCATTAATTGGTTTTACAGGGTGATGCTTTCTGTATATACAGTCATACCTCGGGTTGAAGTTGCTTCAGGTTGAGCGTGTCCGGGTTGCGCTCCGCGGCGACCCGGAAGTAACGGAATGCGTTACTTCCGGGTTTTGCCGCATGCACAGACGGTCAAAATGATGTCATACGTGGAAGCGGCGAATTGCGAGATGCGTGGACGCGGGTTGAGTTCGCTTCAGGATGCGAACAGGGCTCCGGAACGGATCCCGTTCGTATCCAGAGGTACCACTGTATAGTATATATATTTTAAACTTTTCCAATTTTTGAATGCTAAGAAAGTGTTTTAATTGTGGAGAAAGAAGTTGTTCCTTAGCAATTAAAAAAAGCACGAATAGGTTTGTCCTCTGAAGCTACACCCCCTGCCCCCAGTAATTTGGGGCCTATTCTTTTTTGTGTGTGTTTTAGGCCTCTAGTTTTTCCTCTCCAGCTGGAAAGATTAAAAGCTTACTGTTTCTTTTACATTTATGATCCTCATAAAATCATTAGATACTGCCATGAGTCAGAGTTAGGTCATTATCAAGCATGTCATTCTGTGTATCTCTTTATAATACACAGAGGGCTGACAACTCAGGTTTCAAACCACATACTTCAGTATTATCTCACTTTGGAAGCAATCCTATGCACAAGAAGCTGGTGAAAAGCAAGAAGACATAAAGTCATCGCAGAGCTAAACCCGGTTCAGCAGTAGTGCTGCTGCTGCTGCTCCTCTGCCTAAACCTGGCAGAGGCAAGAAAATAGTGTTCTCCACCAGGTTGCCAGGTCATGTGACTGGGCTGAATGGGCCTAGGAACATTTATGGTCCTACCTCCACCATGCTGCTGGAATGCCTCTCTTTTGGGACTTATATCAAGCTCAGCTCAGCCAGCTTCAGCATATCACTAGCTGAGCCACAGAACCCCAGCTGAGCTGGAGATCTGCTCACCCTGGCAGACATTGCCACCTTATCTGCCAGTTTTTGACCCTACTCTTGTAGCCTCTTCTGTTCATTTGATACAGAGGTTTTGTGCAAGAGCAGTCTTGATGGACACTTCCATATTGACAATAAAGTTTATTCGTTATCATTTTTGTTTATTAAATCACTTACGTAGTTGTAGATTGTGCTGGCTTCCCATACGTAGGATAGATCCCTTAAGATTGTATTCAACTGAGGCTTACTCATTAGAACTAATGCACCTAATGTAATTGGGTTCATTAATTTCAGTGGGTCTTCTCTGATGAAAACATAGTTGAACACTGCTATATTCAATAGAAAAATGAACAACAATCAACAGCATCCTTTTCTTTTTGTAAGTGTGCTTTCTGGATTAATTTTTAGACAGATCTGTGGTATGCGAAACACTGTTGTCCAAGTGGATAAATAATTTGAATAAACATTTTGCAGTGTTGTAAAATGGTGTTATTTTATAAAGAATTAAAAAATTGTGTGTGGGGGGGAATGAAATTCAAACACAACGTAACCATAATTCTGGTACACACATAGCCTTTCATTTGTTATCTCATGCAAGCAGTCACATAAACAGTTAACTGGCATAGAAGGAAAACAAAAGCGTCTAAGGCACTCCTAAGTTTGTATCATTATTCGCAGATGGAAAGCTTAGTCATAAGTCTCAAACGGTTCATAGAGTTGACTATCAGACTTTCAGGTCAATGTGATCAGCTATCAGTTTTTCTGAAGCTTACTGTTTCCCTAGCAGTGTTAGGAAACTGAGATATGAAAGATAGGAGCTAAATAGCACCTTACTCCTAGGTTATGGGCACAACAGTAGAACATCTAGATGCACTTTTTGAATAACAAGAATACAAAGCTGAAAATGAAAAGCCAACAAGATGCCTATGGGAAACCAGCAAGCAGGTCCCATTCACAAGAGCACTATCCCTTCCCACAGTTTGCGGCAATGGGCATTCAGAAACATACTTGTCTCTGACCGTGGAGGCAGAGTATAGCCATCATGACTAGTAGCCACTGACAATTGTACCCTCCATGAATTTGTCTAATCCTCTTGAAAAGCCAGTATATCTGAATATAATTTATACTATATTCAGATGTATCTGAACAGCAATTTAGCTGAATATCGTAGAACTATATGTTTTAAACATTCTCTGATTGTCAGCTCTTAACTTTGTTCTTCTGAGGCTGAGGCTGTGACTGTGTATTTTTATATCCAACACTTTTATTTAATGGATGGTTCACAATACCAGTATGCAATGGATTGATATTTTGTAATCTGCCCCCCATCTGAATAAGTGTCAGCAGGAAACCATGCACAGAACTACAAAAGTAGATATACCTTTAGTTTAAAATCGCAGCCTGCATGAACATAATGCATGAAATTGCAACATTTAATATTAGTGACAATGCATTTTGAGAGAATTACGTTCAAGCTAAAACAAAGGTTTCGTTGTTTCATTTTTAATCAGTGCTATAATGCTTATTGATGTTTTGGAGAAAACAAACAAACAAGCACTCAAAATGACAGGTCTTCTTCTGCCCTACCCTTCACTACTGTTTTCTTCTTCTCTGGTTTCCTAGGAAAGAAAATACCATTTCTCAGTGTCTGTTTTGTGGCTAGATAGCTTTTTTTTTCCAGTTGCAGAGGCTGTTTTGTTGCAAAACCCAAAATGACTTGGTGATAAAACTTCAGGCACAAGCAACAGAAACCCAAAATGCAGTGCGTGTTTAAATGTGGAGAGATGTGGAGGAAAAGGCACACTGAAATAAAAATGGCAATTTTAAAAAGCCACAATTAACAGGATTAAGCAGCATATTAAGGAAGTAATTCTAAGAATGGGAACCTGGCTTAAAGTACATACGGCATATCGAGACTCCGTTCAGGAGCGGGGCTACAGCTGGCTAAGCTGGTCTACGCCTGGCAGAGGGAAAGCAAGCATTTAAAATAGAGTTTGATCTACAGCACACTTTTTGTGTTATGCCGGGCTGCCAGGTCATGTGACAGAGCTAAACAGAGTTAGCCCTTGCCTGATCTTGTCCCTGCCACTTCCTTAGAACACCCATATGTGAGGGCTTATGCTGGTGTAAGTTGACCCTTCTCCTTAAAAAAAAAAAAAAAGGTTTGCTGAAGGAATAGGATGCATGCGGCCATTCGGGAAAGGGTGGGGTGGGGTGTAATGTTTACACTCTGGCTCAGAGTATATCTACATCGGCATTTTTGCCAGTGACATCTGCACCATGAAAGCTGAACCAGAATATTCAAGTAGCATCCCAGTACAGTCACAATCCTGGTTTAGATGATTACAGGGATCTTATAAATTTGGCGTTATTTATTCCTACTCATTTGGAGGAGGGTGAAGTGTCTGTAAGCTTAGAGAGAGTCGGTAGGGTGAAAGAGAGAGAGAGAGAGAGACTTGCTTTGTTGGAGGCAGAGTCCTGGGTGTTATGTGCTGAAATTCTCACCCTGGGCCAGCAGGGGGATACTGTAGATAGTTTCACTGAGGTCCACATATGCAAATAAGGGATTGAAAGTGACGTTCAGTGATTGGATAGTTACAGAAAGTGGTTACTGTTGCGTTGTAGTGGAGCTCGATATAAGCAGGCTGGCTGAACCCTTCAGTTCAGTTCAGTTCTGGCCTGTGAATAACAAGAGCTGTTTGAAGAATCGCTGTGTCGTCTGATATGTTCACCCACAACTTAACACTGGGCACCTGAGGCGGACCCCAAAATGGCGCCTCCTTCCCCATCAGGAACTAAGGATGGTCAGGGAAGATCTATAGTGGAACTCAGGGAGAGGGAGAAAGAAAGATCAACATTGGGATGTGCTGCCCCAGTGGACCCTGTTGCCTGAGGCATCACTTCACCAGGCCTCAAGGGCAGGCCCTTGTCACACACTGATTCCTCAATCAGCAGGATTGATGTACAAAGCCTTGTGTTGATGCTGCTGAGCTTTGACTCTCTGTTCTAGTCATGCTAGCGCAGAAACAGGACTGTGGAGGGGATAAGGGGTAGTAAATATAAGAATCCTGCACATTCACTCTCCTAAACAGACAACTTATTCATAGACTTCTCTGGTTAATCTGGTTGTTACAGTATAGCTTTATGTGATGGACAACACAGAAATGGTTAATGAATGAATGTATTCACTATTATGTTTGTGACTCAGTTGAACAATTATTTAATGCTTCAAAAATGCTATAGGAGAGCTCATATTTTAGTTCTGCAGTAACAAAAAAAAATGGTTATATGTTCTTTATTTTCCAGTGAATCTGAAGTTTCAGCTTTGGATGATAAAGGTAACTAATTTTTGAAAGCCTATCAGTAGATTTGTTTTAAAGAATCATTAATTCTGTTGAAATAGATGTGGATCATGTAATAGCATGGTTGTATTAAATGCTGCAACAATGTCAGGTCTCTGAAACATTTTATTTTGTTTTTCTAATGTTTTATCACTGTTGTTCTTCCTGCAGAGCTCTATTATGTATTCTTATAAATGTATTTGAAATTAAGCAGTAGTTTTTGAGGCATCCTATTCTATAGTAATCTCGTTAATTCCTGAAATAATACTTCTGAAGTTAATGGTCTCATGACTGCAAACAGTGGATTTGTGGTCAACATTTTACATTGATGCTTCACTGGAACTTTAAAAAGTCACCACTACCTTTTAAACAAGAAACATTTATGTTTGTTGTGGATTGATTTTCATGGAGGAAGGGCTGTAGCTCAGTGGCACAACATCTGCTTTGCATGCAGAAGGTCACAGGTTCAATGCCCAGCATGCCTGTGGTTTCCCTATCTGAAACCATGGCTTACAGTGCAATTCTATACATGACTATTTTGAATTCCATTTCCCTGGAATTGACTCCTAGGTAAATAGATATAGGATTGCAGCCCAATCTTATGCATGCTTTCTCAGAAGTGTCAAATTAGATAAGTTTAATTCCAGTTCAGGGCAATTTTTGCAGCTTCTATTTTTAATATTTTCCATCCTGTACTATTTCCAAAGTAATATGTGAATGTTTAAAGAGAATTATGCACAAAATACTGAAAAGCAATTACTTACTTTTAAGATGTAGTCTTGGGGCTGCCTTAAAAATGTTTTTCTTCTTTGTTAGAACAGTTAATATGTGCATATGTGCATGAAGCTGCTATAAATTACAGTTGCTGCAGCAGAAGTCTGAAACGTATGGCTGCTAAAATACACCTGGGTTGTGACTGGAGCTAACAACATAGGTTGTCCCATTGTAATGCTGCTTCGTTGCTCTTCTATTGTTTTCTGATTATGTGCGCTGCTCTGGAAAAAAATTAAATGGCAGGGTGGCATGTACACTTTTGAAACAGGCAAGCAACAAACAAATTAAAAATATTGATTGCCCTTTTACTTTATGTAGACAAAGATTACAAGGATTTAGCAAGGATTAAGACCCAAGTTTAATATGTACTAAACTAAAAGATGAGGTAATCACATATCAAGTTGCTACTGTGCATTGCAGAATAATAGCCAGGTTGACTTCCTCCTGAAAACACTAAGGATATGCCTTGAGGCTAATTACGCAGGTCCAGGTTCTTGCCCGTCAACTTTCTTTTGAATGTTGCCTTGAGCAGCAGAATTATTCCCAGGGCAGGGTTGGGAGTAGCCAACTTGTTGCTAAAAAAGCAAAGAGGAACGATGCCTTGATCAGCTAATTCTTATGAATGAAAGGTACTTGCTTAGAGGTCTGCGACTGCAATTATTTTGGGGATAGGGGCAAAACGTTGAGCTGGAATCATTCCCAGAGTTACACAACTGGCCCATGAGTCTGTGGAATAAATTTCATTTATTCCCCCGTGCTTGGGGAAAGGTGGGGAAAGATACTGTGTGCTGAATTCCCAACTGATATTTTATCTCCTCAAAACAGATAGTAGCAGTTCTAAAGATGAAGATTCTGCTCAGGAAAACAACTTGGGTAAATATGCTCATAATGATATATCAAATACACGTGCGTTTTAATGGAAGTTGGAAAATGCTACCAATAATCTAAAAAACTGAACAAAGAATAAATATCAGTATTACCAAACAACAACAACAACCCAACAGTCTAGATTTAAGTACATAAATACAAAGCAAAGCAAGAGTTAACTGACACTGATACTGGGCTACCTGCACTCCAAGGAGTCTGGCTTAAAGACAGGTCAGAGGGGAGGTGGTCCTCTCACCAGGCTAGATGACATAACAGCTGCCTCTAGTATCCTTTCTTGCAGCAGCAAAAATGTTGGAGAGGCCAATGATAGTCTCTTCCCCAGGCTCCAGGAAGTACCAGCTGCTGGTGCAGGTCTTATTCTACAACCTCTTTCAGAAGAGCTGGTAGAATACTTTTTGCAGAGTGGCACTACAGTGTATTGGGGTTGTGTTACAGTATAACAGGGGTGCCCAAACTTTTTTCAAAGAGGGCCAGATGTGATGAAGTGAACGTGCATGGGGGCCGACCAAAGTTTTTGACCTTTTTTAGGGTTGAACTTGTTGAGGTTTTTTTAGGATTTGAGCCTAATAAATAAACTGCCCCAGGGATTAAGCTTTGGACATGACTGCAGTATACGGCTCAAATTATTATTATTATTATTATTATTATTATTATTATTATTGCCACCTTGTGTTGTGGTCTTAACTGCACCATTTAAACAGTAAAGCTTTATGTTAAATCATTGTTTCAAAATTGCCAAGGCTAAATAGATTTTCATTTTGTCAAGGTAACAACAGTTCCCAAAGCGACTCGGAAAGCAGCTCGGAAAGCAAATCTGGTCAGTAATTGAATCATACCTATTCTATATATTAACAGTGAATTTATTTTCTAGTGTGAATCTTTATATAACTGAAACAGCACCATTCACATATGAGAGGAACGTATTAAAGGTCGGAGGGAACCCCCAGGGAAGAACACTCCCCCCCCCCAATTGTCCAATGGCATCCCTGCCACACCATCCCCTACTGGGGGTGGGGAGAGAAACGGAATGGATGATGTCAGACAACAGCAGCTACCTGGCTGGCTGGAACCTTGGTGGGAGCACCCCATGCTGCAACACTTTGTTGTAGATCGCACTTGTTTATATTCCCTTAATGTCTCTTTAAAATGCATCTTAAATTATTGAAATGACAGCCACCAGATATGAATTTAAGCCACCTGCTTGCCTTTCATTGGGTATTCCTTTGCTGCACTTTGTGTGTGCGTGGCTATTTATCAGTAAAGAGAAAAAGGGGGAAGAAGGCAAACACGACATTGTATTTGTTAAATATTGGTGTTTAGCTGGTAGTCACAGCAACAGCAGGCCATAAATATGCTTAGAAATTGGCAACAAATGTGGCAAAACAGGATGATCAGGAAAACAATGGGAGGAAATGGCTCCCCACAGTAACTGGCAAATGTATTTTGTTGTTAATATCCCTGCACTTATTTATACTTTAAACAAATTGACATTGCAGTTTATGTTTAATGAGGCCTTTTCATTTACAGATACAGATGAGGCAGATCTAAATGAACCAAGTGAGTGCTTTTTTAAATTTTATCCTTACTTTGAGAAAGATCTATAAGAGGATTCTTGCAAGGTAGTAAAAGCCATGTGCATAGATGGGAGTGAGTGACTTTTGAGTGTTTATGTTAAGTGGGACATGAAGTAGTTTAAGGACGATTCTTATTGAAAATTTAGCTGAGACCATTGTATAGGGCCATTATTGAATGTACATAAAATTCAAAGAATACCCTTTCATAAAGCACTATGGCCCTACAGTTAAATACATGGCAAGATTAAGGAAAGATGGAGGACCTCAGTGCTACTAGCCATGATGTCTAAACAGAACCTCTATATTCAGGTCTGGAGAATTATCAGGTATGGGGGAATCATGCACAGATAGGCTCTTATTTCTTAAATATACAAATGCAAACAAAGCTTTCATACAAATATGTGTTGCAAATAATTATGTATGCAGGCATTACAAATAATAATGTTTTACCTGAGATAAGAATGAGTGGTGCTGTTTTTTGCATGCATTTACACATTCTTTTCAGTGATGCCACAACACACTGAAATTTACTCCCATAAAGACCTTAGAAGGACAGCTGCCAATTCCATCAAAAACCCATAAATCTTTTCTGTTCTCGTTTGTTTTTGTTTCAGTTTGTAATTGATTGTTAGATTTCTTTCTTGCTCTGCACCAAAAGGTCCTACAGCAGTTTACAGCAATTTTTTAAAAACAAACAGTTTAAAACAAATTGCAGTTACAAGCATAGGGTGGGTCCTGAACTAGCTATTGTTGCTGTGAATTGTAATGTACCTTGCTGGGTATGAGTAGCACTGAGTATGAGTAGCGGTTACTACACTGTTAAACTGATCGTGGGGAGCAGGTGGCACTGTGGTCTCAATCACTGAGCCACTTGGGCTTGCTGATCAGAAGGTTGGCAGTTTGAATCCCTGTGACGGGGTGAGCTCCTGTTGCTCTGTCCTAGCTCCTGCCAACCTAGTAGTTCGACAGCACGCCAGTGCAAGTAGATAAATAGGTGCCGCTGTGGCGGGAAGGTAAACAGCCTTTCTGTGCACTCTGGTTTCCATCACGGTGTCCCATTGCACCAGAAGTGGTTTTGTCAGGCTGGCCACATGACCTGGAAAGCTGTCTGTGGACAAACACCATCTCCCTCGGCCTGAAAGCAAGATGAGCGCCACAACCCCACAGTCGCCTTTGACAGGACTTAACTGTCCAGGGGTCCTTTACCTTTTTTATCTTTTTTAATTAAACTGATCAGTAAAGAATTATAGAATGGCAGTACTTCTTAAATCAGATTCATGATATACTTCTAAGGCTGTGTGGGATACCAGTAGAGGAATGTATACAAACAATTCTGCACACTTTTTTTTGTAGTACAGGACTCAGAATTTCCCATAACATGATGTGTGACCTCTGAGAAATCACCAAAATGGAGGGTTATAGACATAGGCTCCATTACTTTACTACTACTACTGTTGTGGTTATTATTATTATTGTTATTATTATTCATTTCATTTCTATACTGCTTTATATTTGTAAGGGAGGGGAATCTTAAATCAGTTTGCAACCTACATTAAAACATCAAATAAAAAAATCCAGAATAAAACATTACTGAAGAAAGTCTAATATAAAGTATATATTTAAGGACAATTAACATTCATTCAAACATAATTAACAGGAAACTAAAATATCCTATATATATTTTTAAAAAACACTACAGAGGAGGTCAATTGCAGAATTCACATTTAGGAGAGCAAAGTTAACAAAAAAAATCTTAAACATTTCAAAAGAAAGCTTTACTAAATGAAGTCAAATATAAAAGGCACATATGAAACAGAATAACCAGCAAAAGAATAAAATATTCTCATAAGCATAGAACATATCTGCTGCTGTAGCTGCAAATCCTGCCAGTAGTGGTTCATGGCAGGGGCTGTGGATGCTCATTGTCAGGGAAGTGCCATCGGAGCCAGGAGGAGAGGGAGGGCTCCAGAGGGATTCCGGAGAGCGTCCCGGGAGGGAGAGAAGCAGCACATCTTCTGGGGAAGGAAATCAGCGTAGCACCAGTGGAGAAGGGGGGCAGAAGACTTCCGCACAGAAGACTTCCGCAGAAGACTTCCGCGCAGGGAGACTAGGCGGAAACTAGGCGTCAAATAACTTATTTGCTGGAAGAAGTTCAAGAAACGCCCACTGACGGATTCTGCCAGCGATTGAGACAGCCACGAGCGAGTGGCTGTCTGGACAGAAAAGGTTCACTCAGGCAACCCAGTCAGGTGTGGCGCCGATTTACGCACGAGCAACCCCTAGAACCATTTCATGTTCAGTGAGCTGAGTCTCCACAAAAAGACAACCAAGACCTGGCTTCCTCAACCTCGGCCCTCCAGAGGTTTTGAGACTACAATTCCCATCATCCCTGACCACTGGTCCTGCTTGCTAGGGATCATGGGAGTTGTAGGCCAAAAAACATCTGGACTGTTGAGGTTGAGGAAGCCTGACCAAGAAAGTCTCTGGCCTCTTCAGCAGCCTCAGCTTTTGTAGCTGGAGTCAGTCTGGGCCCTGCCCTCCCAGGCCAGGTCGAAAAAGGCCTGCAAGGCAGGAGCAGGTCTTCCAGGACTCACAGCCAGCTTAGATGAGCAGAAGCACTTTAGCCTGGTGAGGTGTAATTAACGATGCCAGGTTCCACTGTAAGGGGAAAAGATAATTATCTTAGATAATTATTATTAGATTATAATCTATACTAATAGTAATGCTGCAAGAAGAAGCACTATACAGTATTATCAAATATGAATAGTGAAGCTGAGAGAATTGTGGCTTCATCCCTGTGGCACAAGCAGATTTGAACAGATTTTTGCCCAGAATGTTGAAAGATGTATGATGAATAAAAAGTGTAATATGATAAAATGCAAATTTTAAAACCAAAGGAGCCTTCAAATAGCCGCGGTGTCACTCAAAATGTCATCTTTAGATATCTGCGGAGAAGTCTTGCTTCAGTTTATGATTCATTCCAAATAACGATGTACAGAAACAAATCAAAGATACAGGATTATATTTTTTTGGTTTATAGATGAGGAACTGAAAATGAAAGAAGAACCACCGTTGCATTGTGTTGAATCAGGTATAATACTTTTCTTTAAGAATAACATGTATCTGACAGGAGGAAGGCTTCTGGTTCCCCCCTCCCAATATGATTTTAAGCATTTTTTTCAATTCATCGTAGACAGAGTTCCAATTTTTTTAAAATTTTGTTACACCCCCACCACATATGTAACATCGTTCCTTCCTCATTATTATGCCTCCAGCATTTGTTTGATTTCGATTTATAAATTTTTGCCCGTTTATTAGGGGTCATATACCACCTATATAACATTTTAAAATAATTCTCTTTAATTGTGCAACATGCCATGAACTTGATATCCTTTTGCCAGAACCTTTTCCAGTGTTCTTTCTGTATTGGGTAACCAAAATCCATTGCTCATTTTATCATGGCCTCTTTTATCTCATCATCTTTTAACTCCAAATCCAATAATACTTTGTAAGTCTTTGATAACAATTTCCTATTATTTTGTAGTAATTCTTTTTCTATTTCGGAGAGATCTTTATGGAACCCGATTTTAATGTCTGATTTGAACACTTCATTCAACTGATGGTACTGAAACCAATCTGTGTATAACTGTCTAATTCCCTCGAACTTTTTAAAATTTAAGTTGACCCCCTTCTTCCTCCTGGGAATTATGAATATCAACATCCCCAAGGGGAAAAAAGAAAGTATTTTTATATGCCACAATGGTGGCGAGAATGCTAATAGCAAAGAACTGGAAAGGGGATAGTGTTCCAACAAAGGAAGAGTGGCAACTCACAAATTTTGTGAATATTTAGAGTTCACAAGAATGACGGAGGTACCATATTTTTCGCTCCATAAGGCGCACCTAGTTTTTAGAGGGGGAATTCAAGAAAAAAAATTTATTTAAAGGGAGCGCTGAGCAGAGCCTGTCTGCATCCCAGGCTCTGCTCAGCGCTCCCTTTCACGAGCCACATGGAGCGTGTGTGCGGCGCTTGCAGGCTTTTCCCTGAGGAGGGAGAAGGGCAGCCTGTCACTGCGCAGCGCTCTCTCTAGCTGTTCTGGCTTCTGGGGTAGCCCGCGAAGCCTCCGCAGGGCAGCAGGGAGCCTTCATCCCGCTGCCCTGCGGAGGCTTTGCAGGCTACCCCAGAGCTGCTCAGGAGTGCGGGGCATCTGCGCACAGCCTGCCCACTGCTCCCAGAGCTTGTCGGGGCTAGCAGAGGAAGCCCGGGTCCCCCCCCCCCAGCCCCGGGGACCACACATTCACTCCATAAGACGCACAGACACTTCCCCTTAGTTTTTAAGAGGGAAAAAGTGTGTCTTATGGAGCGAAAAATATGGTAATTAGAGGCCAACCCACCCAAAAAGCCAAAAAGGATTGGCTACGTGTAAGAGATTACATGAAAAAAACATTGTTCTCAAGCTATATCCTGGTTATGTTTTGACTAAATCTTGTAAAGAGTATAATGGAAAGAGAAAAATTTAGGAGAATTAAATGAAATAAAGAGTAAATAACACAGTAAGAAAAAGATCTGTAAAAGGAAAACTGCAGTGAAGTCACGGGTGGAAAAAGATTTGTATGGAAAGATGTATAGTGTATTAAGTTAAGAATTTATGCTGTAGAGAAATCAAGAATATATGTATATGTACAATTTATACTCAATAAAAATTGTAACAGGAAAAAAACATGTATCAGTTTAAGAAACTTCTCTCTCTTTCCGTTTAGAGGTTAATACCCATCGACACTGTGAACGCTGCAAGATCCCACAAGTAGGTGTTTTTTTTTAAATCCAGATACGGACTAATGTTAAAAGTCGTTTTATAACTCCAGTATTAATGTCCTACTAACTTGCTTTTCCCATTTTTATTTTTATTTTAATATAAAGAACCAGCATGAACAAGTAGCTCCCAGAAAGCTTTCTAGAGGACGATTCTGGTAAGTTTTGATCAATATAATTGAAAATTACATCCTAAAAAATGGCTTTGTATTATTATTTGTTTGCATGATTACACAGTACACAGACATATATTTGGCAAATCCGAATGTACACTTGTCTACTATTGTGCAGTAAAGGAAGCAGAAGAGCAGAATGGGACCTACAGGGTGGAAATAAATGTTGCATTCTTCCAGTCGTTCTGTCTCTGCAAGCACAATAGCTTTCCAAACTTAGCAATCCTCCTTTCTGTCCGTGCCTGTGTGCTGTTCTGGGGGTACCCCTGACCTCCTCCGCAGAGCAAATTTTGGAGGGCACATGAGAAGAGGAAGGGGAGGAAGCCCTGTTGTGCAAGGCCAAGTCCTTGCCTGGAGCTTCTGTTGAGAGGGCTTTTTAGGTGCAGCAGTAAAGCGTATGCCCGTGCTGCCCGGAGTGGTACCCTGCCACACACAGTTCAGGGTAAGAGAGGGCAGGAAAGCTGCTGCCCACTCTCCCCCTGCTCTCTGCTACTGGATCAGGCCTGAATTGGCAGCGGAGGTGGATCTGCTGGGGCCGGGCGCACCTTGCTACAGCAGAGGTGGGATGCTCTCCTCCCTTGGTCAGGCCTGATCTGGGGGGGCGGGGGAGAGAGCTGCACCAGGCACAAGCACCGCTGCTAAGGGGAGACGGGGGCATTTGGCAGGCCCCCAGCTGGCTCCAGCCATCGGCCGGCAGCCGGGCGAACTCCGGTTCCTGGAACAGCATCAATCAGTGACTTGAGTCTCCGAAACGTTCAGAACCTGAGCAAGCTCTTATCAGCAGAGTGAATAAATTATCACAACGGAAGTGGCGGACAGAGACATGTGTAAGCATTATTTACAGGCGTTTATTCAGCATCAGGAACAAAGGGAAAACATGTCTTCTTCCCTTCGTGTCCAAGCAAACAGCGGCATAGCAAAAGCAATATACAAATGGAAGTTCCCATTGCATGCAGTAGGTCCCAGGTTCAATCGCAGACATTTCCAGGTAGGGCTGGGAGGGACCCCTCCCTGTCTGAGACCCTGGAGAGCTGCTGCCAGTCAGTGTAGACAATACTGACCTAGATGGACCATTGGCCTGACGGAGGCAGCTTCATAGGTTCCTGTAAGCAAAAAAAAAAAAAAAAAGTGCTTTACAATTTACTTTATAAAGAAATAAATATTGGTTGACACTAAGGTCATATTCATCCTTTTTTTTAAAGAAAAAGTTCACGTCTCAAGCCAGCGTTTTGTTTGGATCAGGAAAGTCTGCAAAGGAGTCAGCATCCTGTTGTAGGGAGAACAGCTTTGATAAAATTGGCATTATATAAATGTATTTTTCACATGTATTTGGAAGGACAAGAAAATGCAGAGGAAACACATGCATATATCATTCCCATTTGTCAGAGTCGTCTGCGACTGGACTTAACGGTCAGGGGTCCCTTTACCTTTATGCTGTATCACGTACTGAAAACTACACTTTATGTATCACATATGCAGGTTGAAGTTGGACGACGAAGGAATTTATCAGTGTACAATCACAGGGTTGATCTTTGAAGTAACCAAAGCCGCAGTCATTGAGTATTCCCTTTTGTCTTGGACCAAGTATGCTGCTTACCTTAAAGATCCCTGGATTGTCGTGGGCCCCATATTTGACGTCAAGTGCAAATCACCTTCTGTTCTTACTTCCATTCAGTTTCCACACGCCCTCTGCCTGAATGGTAAGACTTGCTCAGTGAATTTAAACATATTTGTCTATCTGCTGGGGCACTTACTCTGCTTTTAGGAAGCGTTAAAAAGCGTTCGATGTTTCTCTGCAGACCATTCCTCTGACATGACCTTCAACGTGTTCCATTTCAAAAGCAACGGCCCAGAATTTGAGCGTTCTGCTGATCACTCAACCACACATGTCAAATGGCGTGTGAGCTCCCTGTCCCCTGTTGGCCCAGTTATTGAGAAATACGATCCAGTGTGTTACCACGGGGTTGTTATTTTATACAAAGTTGTCAACGACCACCCTTCCTTGAAATTCCATGTGTATGTAGCCGGCAACAACAGCTCGTTTATAAAGGTAAGATCAACTTTTGGGCAATGTCTAAATCAGTTTCTTTGCTGCCAGCATGGCAGTTTCCTGTACAGTGGACGCTCGGGTGGCGAATGTGATCCATGCGGATGCACATTCGCAACCCACAAAATTCGCAACCCGCAGCTGCGCGTCTGCTCACACGCGGGTTGCGATTTGGTGCTTCTGCGCATGCACGACCGTCAAAACCCGGAAGTAACCCGTTCCGGTACTTCCGGGTTTCGGTGGTCCGTAACCTGAAAAAATGCAACCTGAAATGTCTGTAACCTGAGATATGACTGTATTCCAGTGCCCACTGGAGCTGTCAACTCATGAAATAAAAAGTTCTAGCAAGTAAGAAGGACCTGGTGGCCGTTCAGGAGGTGAAGGCTTGTAGGACAAGGTGGAACTTAAAGACCCCTGAGGGCAGAGCCTATAGAAACACTGAATTCAATTGGACACTGGATGAGGAAAAAAGGCTGTCTTTCAACCCCTCCTGTCTGGCAGCTAGAACCTCAGATCTCAAAACCCTGCTCCCCCACCCCAGTGAGTTGGAAACTCTAGTGTGTGCAGCCAGGAGAACCATTAGGGTTCCAGTTGCTACAACAGAATATTCAACTGAGTACTGCAGAAACTGCTTGGTGAATCATCCTTGTAATTGTTGTAAGAATCACATGATTGTTGCATTTAATTTGTTAGAAAGCGAGGGAGGGAACCGCAATTTCTCAGTAGATGAAAGAAGTTTAATATATAGACAAAATCTCCAACAAGTCTAGGTAGATCTTTGATTTCTTGACTTAGGCAATCATGATTTAAAAAAAAAGATCTGTTTTAATTTTAGGATGTGTCAAAAACCATACAGCGCTCTTCCAATAGATTCATTAAAATTGAGAAACCCCCTTGTCAGAAATTACTCCAAGTTGGGAAGAAATACAAATTAACTAGTGTCCCAGAAGCTGACATAAACCCTGAGGTATGTTCTTTATTCTTCTATAATCGGATTGTCAAGATGCATGTCCTTGTCTAAAAGATGATGATAATTGTCATTTGTGCAGTGTTCCTGATACGTTGTGACATCGTATACATGCATTATATAAAAGCTTAGCTAGGAAAACAAACTTTTTGCTTTGACAAATGGGTTTTCAATATTCTGATATTCACTTTCTAGGAAATGGAGTTTGTTGATGACTCTACGCTAGCACAGAAACATTTCTTTGAGGTATATTTAGAACAACCAACAGAACTTGTGTTATCTTTGATGGATGTGGAGTCAGAAGAAACTGTGTGGAAAGCAAAGCTACGAGAATGTGAGTTTTCCTTAGACACAATTCAGTACACAGTATGTGCCATTAACAGTGTTTGATTTATTTGGGACTTCACTGATGTTTAAATCTGTTTCAATTTTTGTATATTGCATGTTGTTGTTTTCTTATTTGCATTTTTCAGATGTGGTAGAAAGCAGGGTATAATTTTTAAAAGCGAACAAATAACCTGATTTACAGTTCAGTCTCATGTACCACTCCCAAGTAAATGTGCATAGAGCCTTAATAATGAATTGCAGCCAACATATTTGGCCGCAATCCAAATGAGACTATGCATATTCCGGTCACAGTCCCACTCACAAACATAGAGGTTCTTTTTCCTTCTTCTGATAAGAAAGCTGCCCTCCAAAACATTGCAGAACTAGAGAAATTGGGTTCTGTGAAACAACAGATTCAAGAAAAAAGAATATCGGGCAAAAATATGGCATGTGATGAAGTACGCTGCTGTTAATGCCGTCTACTTTCTCCCCCAATCACCAAACTTGGGAAGAGTTTAGAGACTAGTCTGAGGTATGAGTTTAAGGGAGCAACTCTGCAAAAAAGAAAAGTGGAAGCATATATTGCTATTTCTGTTTTCTATCAACAACAAATAAAAATATCAGTGGGAGGATATTATTTTGAATAGGCAAATGCTTTAGATATACAATATTTTTAAAGCACTGTTTCCTCCTGCATTGTGTACATTTCCCATCTTTCTAAATTATATAACCAATACAGCGGTACCTTAGTACTCAAACGGCTTGGCTGTCAAACAAATAGGCTCCCAAACGCCACAAACCCAGAAGTATTTCAGTTTGCAAATGTTTTTCGGAAGCCAAAGTCCAACGCGGCTTCTGCTTGAGTGCAGGAAGTTCCTGCAGCCAATTGGAAGCTGTGCCTTGGTTGTCAAATGGTTTCAGGAGTCGAACAGACTCCCAGAACGGATTATGTTCGAGAACCAAGGTACCAGTGTATACAAATTTAAATGAATCTGTGCAATTATTGGCCATATTGACACTCAAGCTCCAGCATTCTGTTTACTCCTTCAGTAGCTGAAAGATGTAGCGCGCATGGAACCAAAAGCACTTTTCTCTCATTTTACTGTCATTTGGTTCTCATGCAATGGCAGTTATTAGCACATCATTTAATTCCCCAAACAGAATCCAGTTTCAGTCAAAAGCAAGCTTCCAGATTCCTATTTTTCTGTAATCGCTACTATCCAAAGCAGGCACCCCCAACCTTCGGCCCTCCAGATGTTTTGGACTACAATTCCCATCATCCCTGACCACTGGTCCTGCTAGCTAGGGTTCATGGGAGTTGTAGACCAAAACATCTGGAGGGCCGCAGGTTTGGGATGCCTGATCCAAAGCTATCAAAACAGTTCACCATGAATAGTATGGACTCACACATGAGCCAGTATGGTGCAGTGGTTAAGAGCGGTGGACTCGTAATATGGTGAACCGGGTTCGCGTCTCCGCTCCTCCACATGCAGCTGCTGGGTGACCTTGGGCTAGTCACACTTCTCTGAAGTCTCTCAGCCCCATTCACCTCACAGAGTGTTTGTTGTGGGGGAGGAAGGGAAAGGAGATTGTTAGCTGCTTTGAGACTCCTTAGTGTAGTGATAAAGCGGGATATCAAATCCAAACTCCTCCTCCTCCTCCTCCTCCTCTTCTTCTTCTTCTTCTTCTTCTTCTTCTTCTTCTTCTTCTTCTTCCATGGATGATGCATTTTCAAATTACTGAATTTACACATATGATGATGCTTCTCTCCAAATCCAAATCTCCAGGGGATAGGTCCCACCAGCTTCATATGTTAATTAGCTTGCTGTTCAGGATGGACAGCTCCTATGGTTCTCAACAGAAACCCTCCCATAATTATTTGCATTCTATGCTAAGCATAACAAGCTACACAAGGCAGTCTCTAGGGGTAGGGGTACTGACCACCTGATTTTTTTCTGATGCCATGTGACCAAATGGTTTTGAATGTCCTCCAGAAGCCCTACACGACCTTCTGTTTGGGTTTGTAGAGAGTGTTACTTTTAAGGTTGGGCATTCTTTTTTTTTAACTTGTCATTTACTTATAATACAGTCAGTGAGATGCAGCTTCTTTTGTGGCTAAAAGCCATGGAGCAAAGATAATTGTAAAAAGTCCTTTGATTTATTTTATTTGTGCTTTACTGAGAAGCGGGGGGAACAGATTAATACTTCTTCTTTGTGAGAATTGTGGCATATTCGTTTGCACTGCCAATTACGCGATACAGCGGGCCTTAATTTTCTTTTGAAAATATTTCTATTTAACAGGTGACTGGATCCTACATAACCAGAATAACAATAAGCAGAAAAGATCCACTAACAGTAAGTTATTATAAAGCAGTACGCATGAAACAATCAGCTGGGAACTTCTCCTGTACAATGTACAGCTCCCAATTGACTTATGACTTGTGCAGAAGTTTCCAGTGGGGCTGTTAAATATATTTGCTTAGTTCTTCAGGATTCCACTACATGACTAGTGGACAACTAGTGCACAAGTTGCTGATTTCCCTTTCCTCCATCTGTAGCTTAGATTCAAGCCCACATATTCTTATTTAGAAAGCACAACAACTTACGTATTTTGAAACTATGTCCTTTGCCATGTATTCCTTAGGCACGAGACGACGGAAATCCAGCACCAGTCTTTCAGAAGATGAGCTTTGTAACAAACGGCTAAAAGCCATCAACGCTTCAGGTAAAGGATTTTGTGAAATTAAAGAAGATTAGCATCAAGCCATGTTCTAAGCCTTTCATACTGCAAGGTATTAATGTTACATTTTACTTAACCTGGGTGCAACTACAATTCCAGCTGGAAAACCCATGCATTTGTATTTGCACAAGGATTCTGAACACCTAATTTGAATGCAGCTATCTATATGAAAGCATAAATTTAACCTGTATATTACCGTGTCTTTAGGAATCCACTAGAGGGAGTTCTTCAATCATTTCAATACATTTTAACAAACCATATTTAAAAAAATTTACGTTGATCAGTATACCAAGGTTTGAACTAGATAAAGAACTAGTTGGCACAGGAACAAAATCAACCCTTTAACTCCAGTAGAAAATTGCTCATGATGCCAAAGGTAGTAAGAAACTTGCCATCATAATAGGGTTCTCCATAGATAGGATGTACCTATTTTTGTGGATTTGTGGTATCAAAAAGCCTTGAAAAAGAGCCTATAGGAAAACAGAATGCTAGAAAAGTGGGTGATGAGAGAGATGGCTTATTTTGAACACAATGCGACCACACTTGGAATACTGTTAAAAGGTAAAGGTACCCCTGGCCATTAGGTCCAGTCGTGGCTGACTCTGGGGTTGCGGTGCTCATCTCGCTTTATTAGCCGAGGGAGCCGGCGTACAGCTTCTGGGTCATGTGGCAAGCATGACTAAGTCACTTCTGGCGAACCAGAGCAGCACACGGAAACGCCGTTTACCTTCCCGCCGGAGCGGTACCTATTTATCTACTTGCACTTTGACGTTCTTTGGAACTGCTAGGTTGGCAGGAGCAGGGACTGAGCAATGAGAGCTTACTCCGTCGCGGGGATTCGAAGCGCTGACCTTCTGATTGGCAAGTCCTAGGCTCTGTGGTTTAACCCACACCTCCACCCACGTCCCTGGAATACTGTTACCTCACCTCAAAAAGGATATTGTAGACCAGGAGAAGGTCCAGAAAAGGCCAACAAAAATTATGGAGGTTACAACATTTGGGGCTTTTTAGTTTAGAGAAAAGGCAAGTGAGATAAAGTGTACAAAATTACACACAGTGTAGAGAAAGTGGGTACAGAAAGGTTTTACTTCCTGTCTTGTAATACTAAAACTTGGGGACATCCAAGGATGCTGAATGTTGGAAGAGTCAGGCCAGACAAAAGATTTCTTCACACAAGTACTTATTTACATGGTTCAACTAAGGAATGCGCTCCCACAAGCAGCAGTGATGGCCACCAATGTCACTTATAAGAGGATTAGACAAATTTATGGAGGATAAGGCTATAAATGACTACCAGCCATGATGGCTATGTTGTACCGCAGGTGGCTCTGGGCTCTAAACTACTGAGCCTCTTGGGCTTGCCGATCAGAAGGTCAGAGGTTCAAATCCCTGCGACGGGGTGAGCTCCCATTGCTCTGTCCCAGCTCCTGCCAGCCTAGCAGTTTGAAAGCACACCAGTGCAAGTAGATAAATAGGTACCGCTGTGGCAGGAAGGTAAAAGGCGTTTCCATGCACTCTGGTTTCTGTCACGGTGTTCAGTTGCGCCAGAAGTGGTTTAGTCATGCTGGCCACATGACCTGGAAAGCTATATGTGGACAAATGCCAGCTCCCTTGGTCTGAAAGCGAGATGAGCGTTGCACCCCATAGTTGCCTTTGGACTTAACCATCCAGGGGTGCTTTACCTTTTACCTTAACCTGTTGTACCTCTATGGTGGGAGGCAGTATGTTTCTGGAAATTCAGAACAGTGCTGTTGCAGTCAGGTTCTGCTTGTAAGCTTCTCATTGACTTGTCCACTATGAGAACAGAAGGCTGACCTAGATGGGATCTCGCCTTATCCAGCAGGCTTTTCTCACGTTATTGTGTAACATGGGTCTAAATAACCAGAGAAATTGAAAAGGGGGAAAGAAGGCAAACTCATTATCCTAAACCCATTGTGACACTGAAAATTACCAAAAAGTTATACAAGTCTAAATGATGATGATGTTGTAAGCCACTTTGAACAGTGGAAAGGTGGCATACAAATCAAATTATGTATGTATATGTTGCAGGCCTGGAATGTTCATTCTCTTTGTGTTTCCTGATCTGATAATTTGTGTGTGTGTGTAAGTTTCTTCCAAAGAAAAGGCAGTGATTAGCTGCCCCTGCCTAAGATGGGAAGGAAGCACCCCAAGTTATATTTGAATGCTCTCCTTTCTTCTTCAAGAATAGAAATAGATGGTAATTTTAAAATATCCATTCCTCCCCCCCTCAGGCCAACTAAAAGCAATAACGACATAACATAGTTGTATTCTTCTGCTTTTAGATGGAACGAAAGCTTCAGCAGTACTAACTGATCAGCAGCTGATGATTCTTGCAAAGAAGATGGGTAAAAACTGGAAAGTAATTGGCATTGAATGCCTTAGCTTGTCCATCGAAGACATCCAGCAGATTGAGGCAAAGGAAGAAGATGTTAATATGTATAAATGCATGATGTTGCGGAAATGGAGGGATTCGGAACAGAATAATGGAACTGCCCGCAGTTTATATGACTGTCTTAATGGCCAGGCATCCCATGATGTGCTAGAAATTCTGACAGGTAAATATCAACACTCTTTATACTTTGTGTATGATGTTTCAGATATTTAGGGTGAAGCAGAATATTTTTAGGATAGCAGAAGTGGTTTCTAAGGCTGGATCTAGACACATCAAAAAAGCGTTTCAGAAAAATGTGTTGTAAACCTTAAAGTGGGAAATCACATTGGCAAAAGATGGGACTCCACAGTCACAATGTAATAACACATATAAAACACATTTCTTTACTAATGTAGCTGAGTCCATAGTGCCTTCACTTTATGGAAAACGCATCACATATATTTTAATGGCCTAGGGCAAGCTGTGGGAGCGGTAGATCCTGCAAATTTCCAGCATGTTAAGAGAACAGATGTTAACGGTAATCACTTGGGGAGTGTCTCTTCCATAACCACCATCCATTCAACTTCCAGAGCAGTTTTGCAATTGATTTTAAAGTGTTTGTGAATGTATTTATTTATGACATGGCGAAGGATGGACACACATGGATACAGATGCCTATGCCACACGTGGACCTCAGCTTTGTTACTACTGTAAGAGGCAATAACTGTCTGTTGCGCCACACTTAAATTCTAAGCAACTCCTTAATTCTCATTTATTTTTGTTTTACAGGTTTTTTAAGAGCAGATGCAAAGTCATGAGGAAACAGCATGAAAAAGAAGAAACATCAGGAATGTTCTTCCATGTACGTTTTACAAAAAAAAGATGAAAAGGAACTTCGTTGTGCTCTGCAAACTGTTTTAATCTCTGGAGGGTTTCCATGAAGTGACAAAGATAGGCCAGTTGTGGAAACTTTGGAGAAGAAGAAGAAAGAAGAAAAGCATGTGGAACTGTGAACTCATGCAAATGCTTATCTACTTGTTGCTTTTTTACACATGACTTCCCAGCCTGCCCTGCTGTCGGAGATTCGGCCTTCATGCGTGTTTTACCCGTGCAAGGAGAATTAATGCCTTCCAAAACCCTCTCAGGTCTCCTTGGGTTGCACTGCCTGGATTAACTGCGATCTTCGCTATCTTGTCTTCCACGTTCATACCAGAGTTCAGGGACGGACTGTGGTCTTTCACATTTCAGCAGTCAAAATTCACTGCCCTCTGCCTGTCACCGTTCTGCTCAATTCACTGTCATAGTTGCGATGCCCTGTGGCTCCCCTAGGCTTGGAATTCTCCTGCGGCAGAACTGGTTGTGCTGCCCTAAATCCATCTCTGCAGCGTTATGCATCAGACACACACCTGAGAAGGGATTTTTCTACACCCCCTTTGTGAAGATACAAACAGGTTTGTCTTTTCACTCCCCATGGGTGCAATTGCACACACTGTGGTTCTTCATGCTTTCCCTCCGCAGCATTCCTGCTATAGACTTTCCCAGTCCCTTGTTGAAGGGAATGAGAAGAGACTGAAAGCTTCCACTTAGACCTATTATGTACAGTGGTACCTCGAGTTAAGGGAGGCGGGTGGCGCTGTAGGTTAAACCACAGAGCCTAGGACTTGCCAATCAGAAGGTTGGCGGTTTGAATCCCCATGACAGGGTGAGCTCCTGTTGCTTGGTCCCTGCTCCTGCCAACCGCTCTGGCTGGAAGGTAAACGACGTTTCCGTGTGCTGCTCTGGCTCGCCAGAAGCGGCTTAGTCATGCTGGCCACATGACCCGGAAGCTGTACGTCAGCTCCCTTGGCCAATAAAGCGAGATGAGCACCACAACCTCAGAGTCAGTCACGACTGGACCTAATGGTCAGGTGTCTCTTTACCTTACCTTGGGTTAAGAACTTAATTCATTCTGGAGGTCCATTCTTAACCTGAAACTGCTCTTAACATGAGGTACCACTTTAGCTAATGGGGCCTCCCGCTGCCGCCTCGCGATTTCTGTTCTCATCCTGAAGCAACGTTCTTAACCCGAGGTACTATTTCTGGGTTAGCGGAGTCTGTAACCTGAAACGTCTGTAACCCAAGGTACCACTGTATAATGCTTTGAGCCACACTGAAGTCATAGGTGGTTTTGAAACTGCGCACCGAACAAACATAGGGCACCTCAGAACCTTAGCAGGAGTTGCTCAGTGACAAAAGTGCTAATGACAAAAAGCTCTCCGATGAGCAACTTGATTACAGTTTCTAGTAACTGTGGGGCATGCGGGGCACACTTTCAGGTATATGTGGCACAACAGACCTCACAGTCAGCTCCAGGTGTTGTTTTTTTGTTGAGGGGAGTAGGAAGTACAGCTTGGCAAAATACAGACTTAGGCAACTCCCTTCCCCAACATGTCACGCTATTGAAAAAATTATGTACCAAGAAAAGCTGGATTCTGAGACCTTTATACGCAATCATTCAAACATAGCAAATTTGCTTAAATTCTATTTAGCTGTTTTATATAAGCTGGTTTTATTAGCCATAGGGTGGTGGTGGGTAAGCAAGCAGTGCAGGTCACTGAAGCCCTACCCTGAGAAAGACTTGAAATATCCAACCATTTCTCTGGCGTCTGACATTTTAGCAGATGTTCCTTGCAAACTATATTTTTTATAGCAATGAGGATTAGAAACTTACCTTTCTGAAAAGAGTGAGACTCTCAGGAAGATGAGTATTCTGCATTCAACGCCACACTTTGACTATTTAAAAAATGCTCTTGTTGAATTATGGTGTACGTACAACCTTGCTCTTTGTCTAAGAGCTTTCTAATACCGTATTGGCCTGAATATAAGCCTCAAATTCTGACCATGAAAAGTTAAAGTGCGGCTTATATTTGTGACCTTGCTGCGGGCAAAGCAGCAGCAGGAGTGTGGCAAAACAGTGCCCGCCCCACGCATAGACCCCCAACCTCTCTCCCAAGGACGAGAAGGGAGAGAGTGAGGAAGGGGGAAGGCTATCGGCAACGCAGCGTGGCTCCCCCCCCCCCGCCCAGTATGCAGCCAGGAGCTGCGAGGAATGGAGTGGCTTATATTCGGGTACTTTTTCTTTCCCCCTCCTCCAATTGTAAAGGTGCAGCTTATATTCTGGTGCAGCTTGTATTCGGGCCAATACGGTCATACTTGATAGTAGATTCATCATCCCCAGTAAAGTGGCAATACTGTTGTTGTTTTTAAAGGATGCAAAACGCTGTGAATCAAGTTTTAGATCCTCAAGGAGTCATGTAGTATCAAACTCTACTGCGCTTGGGACACATCATGTAGCATAAAACCAGCATCCACACACTGCCTGTGTCCTTTTAGAAGGGCAGAGTAGCTCTAATCATTGTAAAACCATTTTACAGTTCAGCATTGGCACTACAGGAAGATTTTGCATCTCTCTGGGAATGTAATTTACATGTCGCCCCCCCCCCCCAAAGGTCACCCATTTCTTATGTGGTACATTTCTGTGTTGTACATATTTCCTTGGAAACAGACTTGACTGTATGTTGTGTTAATCCTTTTTTTAAAATACAAAATAAAAATTGTGTCAATCCTTTTTTATTTAATGGAAATGAAATGGTGAAACTGGTTTTGTCTTATTAATGACCTTGGGCCAATTAGGCTAAAATCTAAGTATTGTAACTGTTAAATTAGAGCTGTCATAAAAAGCATCTTTAGCAACAACAAATGGCTGGTTGGTTTTTCCATCCAACCTGCTGAAATAATGTTATTTGATAGTAAGAGTGTTGAAAACCACACTTGTGCTTTCAATAAATGTCTCGCTGCCAAATCCCTGTTATGGAAAACGGCGGTTTGCAGACCATAGTTAGCTGGCGCTGGCCTTCTCACAGTTCCTGGTAGTGTCGTAGAATCATGGAATTGTAGAGTTGGAAGGGACCCTGAGGCTCAACTAGCTTGACCCCCTGCAATGCAGGAATATGCAGCTGTCCTGTACGGGGATCGAACCTGCGACCTTGGTGTTGTCAGGACCATGCTCTAACCAACTGACCTTTTAAACCAACTACCACCCTCAGAAGGGACGTAGGTGGCACTGTGGTCTAAACCACAGAGCCTAGGGCTTGCCGATCAGAAGGTCGGCGGTTCGAATCCCCGCGACAGGGTGAGCTCCTGTTGCTTGGTCCCTGCTCCTGCCAACCTAGCAGTTTGAAAGCACGTCAAAGTGCAAGTAGATAAATAGGTACTGCTCCGGCGGGAAGGTAAACGGCGTTTCCGTGCGCTGCTCTGGTTTGCCAGAAGCGGCTTAGTCATGCTGGCCACATGACCCGGAAGCTCCCTTGGCCAATAAAGCGAGATGAGCGCCGCAACCCCAGAGTCGTCCGCGACTGGACCTAACGGTCAGGGGTCCCTTTACCTTTACCACCCTCAGAAGTGTACAAAGTGGCTGCCAGGGAGGAGGCTTTCTTATTAGCAGACCCTAAGTTGTGGAACTCCCTCGCTCCACAGATTCAAACCTAGGATCTTCATTGCCCGGAGTTTGCTGCATGCTGGAAACACAACTCTTTATCCTGCCCTTTGACAGCATAAAGTTTTGTTTTCCTTCCTTGTTGAAATGAAATCATAACGAAAAGGAAAAATAAAACAAAGGAATAACATTGCTCCGATATAATTTAAACAATCATTTATTTGGCCATAAATATAAATAAGTTTTTAAATACATTATATAAATTACTCATAAATTACTTATAAAGATAGCTTATTTATAAATACGGCTATGCACTGCTTCCACTACGAGAGGCCGCAATGCTTCTGAATGCCAGTTGCTGGAATCCACAGGACAGCAGAGTGCTCATGTGCTTGAATCCTGCTTGCTGGTTTTTCCTGCAGGCATCTTGTTGGCCACTGTGAGAACAGGATGCTGGACGAGATGGGTCACTGGCCTGATCCAGCAGGCTCTTCTTAATTGGACAGCACCATAAGTGTGCAGAACGCTTGACACTATTAGCAAAAAAAACCAACCCCAACCAAAAACCAACAGACCTCTGTGTCCTGAATTTCTTACTACTAAAGAAAGTAGTTTAAGGTGCAATATGACCAGATTTTTAACCCGGGAGGGGAAAAAGGAAAAAAGTGGAATTCTTCGCAAGTATTTTGGTTTTCTGCAACATATTTTCCCTACACAGACTTATGAAAGCAAGGCTGAAATCCTAGACCATTTACTTGGGAGTGAGTCCAACCAAGCTCAATGGGACTCACTTCTGAGTAGACATGTATAGGATTGCATTGTAAATCCCTAACATTTTATTTAAGAAGGCACTTGGTTGTAATCTACACAGCAGGTAGCCACCTGACTGGCAAAGGAATGCATGTAGATTCTCAGCCTGCTGCTGAATTATGAGGATTTCATTTGGGAAGGGGTTTTCCTACCAAAAAAATTTGCCAATTGATTCTGGGGCATTTCCCTACTTCCTCTAGCATATGTGATGCAGCACACTGGTTTCAGCATACAGAGCTCTTATCATGCACACATGTCGTGGTGGATTTTGCTCTGTACTTGTGGTGTATCATAAACCAGATTATGCATGATAATCTGTTATGGGTGCTGCTAATCCTGTTTCATTGCACTGTTTTGGAATCGATGAAGTGTATTTGAGCTGTTTCTATCTATGATTCTATTCTCCCCACCACCTCCCTTTAAAAAACTAAAATATTTGAGGATCAGTATTACATTTGCATTTCTAGAGACTTCCCGTAGAGGTGGCTCAAGGTTCTGTCGATGGTCTGAGTGAGCTGCTGCAAAGTTAGAAGAATTTCGCATTCCTTCATCTCCATTTCAAATGTCTTTCTGGAAGGTTGTTGTGGTGAGGGTGGTGGCTGCTCCGTGATGTTCTGGCTGGTTTTCAAAGCCTATAAAAGATGCACAATCAAAAAGAAAGATGAATGCAGGGGCACACATTCACACATAACCGATGCAGTACCTAATTGTTTGAAATAGCATAACGATGCCTCACATTTATGAAATGGGAACAGAAAAGCATGCTACCATGAGGGGGAATGGAATGGAAGAGTAAGAGTCAAAGTTATGTTCAGATCTAGAAAGCCACAGGTTCTCCATTGTTGTTTGTAACTGCTTAGAACATCAGACATGCTAATTGCAACATTTGCAATTGCTATGAATCATCAGTGTTTGTTGACATCATAATCCATCCTTCTGGATACATACACATGCCCATGAAAAGTAAAGATTTGAGTTTAATGCAACCATAGGTATCTTCTGTCTGATTAAATCAGTTGGTCTGACTATTACATCTTTCATGAAGTTTATGAAAGAGTTACGGAATTCAGTAAAATTACAGGATTCAAAGAAGGCAAAGCAATATTAATAATAGTTCAAATATATATATTTACCTGCATCATAATGCTGACAGCATGAAAAAGCTCTGGAGAATTAAAATCCTTGATTTCCGCCATATAGTGTTTCAGAATTTTATAGATGGTGTCCATGCATGCAGTCTGCAAGAAAACGCAACAATAAAGATATAAGCAAAGGTTCTGGAAGATTCCTTTACACAAGACAAATAAACTTGCTGCCATCTGAGGATGGAAATTTACCTGATCAACAGCATCATTTTCTCCTGAGGGACAGAGTCCAGGCTGAAATCAAAGATGCAAGATGAGAAGCATTAATTTCACTGCAACCATGAATTTGGCTAACCCATTGCATTTGTTAGAAAGTACTCATTGTAATACCTTCAGTGAACTTCCTCCCATACAGGCCTTCTGGATCTTCTCTTCATTCTTAGGATTTTCAGGAACATTATATTCCAGTGTACAATTAAATTGCTTCTATAAAAGTGAAGAGAATATCAATTGAATCAGTACAGTTACTGCGTGCAATGGGAATTGTGTTGAAGACCTTGCATCACTGCTTGGTCATGGCTACTGACAAATATCCAGAGAGCACAGAATGGCCTAGGCTTTCAAAGAAAAGGAAGTGCATTTGAGTTGCACTTCTTCTTCCCATGCTTGTTTGCTTAGAAGTTCAGCCTGCAACATCTGCCCCACCCCCTTTGGGGGCATGAAAGTTTTCACACCTGTAATATGCACTATGAAGAGTGACATATGAGCTATGCTGTACACCTTGTAAACAAGTGTGGGAACCTCTGTCTGAACCTCTGAAACTGCTCACAAAGAAAATGCTGCCCTTACTTTCAGACGGAGTTGGTTCTAACAGTGTAACCCTACGTACGTCCAACCGTGAGGCGTACTAGTAACTGGGTTTAGGATTGCAGCCATTCTTTTTTATGTCTATGGAACTTTCAGAGAAATCATTCCAACTCACTGTGTATTTAGCATAAAAATGCATGAGATAATGTTACAATAGCGCTCAAGAATATGAACCTGCTGCGGTACAGCAGGTTGACCCAGATATTCCAGCAGCTGCCATCATCACCAGATTGGCATGGCAATGACTCATTCTGTTGCATGGTTCAGAAATCAGGGAGGGATCATAGTAGGTATTTGTTTCTGCATGTGTGAGAGAAGCGAGGGGTCTACACCTATATCTCTGCTAACACTGCAGATTATTTATCGATCCCCACCACTGTCTCTTATTTCTGGAGTTCAGAGGTGAGTGCCAGTCCTTCATGCAGCTAAAAACAACCCAAGAAGGACTGAGCATGTTCAGAAGTATGGAGCACTGACTGACTGTTGGGTGCAGAAATAATTATGGAAAGCTGGAAGACAATATAGCTGGAACTCAACATTTTGTAGCATTTTGTTGCTGGCTCTCTAATATTCCATGGTCTTTTCACCTATTGCACTGTTTGGTCCTTCCACCTTTTCTGAGACAGGAGACGCTCTTTCACAAGTTCAGTCCCCATAAGGAGGAAAAAACTGAAGGCATAACAGTGTTTGAGCAATATGTATTTACAAATATTTTAAGATTAGCGGGACAAAGAACATGCAGGTCCCTAGACAGAGAGTGCTTCAAATCAGCTGCAAGGATTTGCTAGATTCTAAACTGCAGGATGGGTTTTGCTGCCCCCACCCTGGCAGGTAGGTGTGGTCTGTATTCTGAACTCCAGGAACAAGTCAGGATCAAGGCAAAGTAGCTCTAATCCATGCAAAAGCCTAGAGAGACAACCATATCTTCAGTAGACAGAACACAATAGTATTCCCATAGCAATATATTTCATGGACGTTCAAGCAATGTGCCATTTGGAATACATTTGATAAGGTTTTGACTGTGTATGCTCAGGCAGCGGTTTTTCACAGTGTGCTTTTCTGTAGAGCAGGATGCGCAGTCCTATCACCTTATTGATTCCAGTTGCCATTTAGCAGAGCTTACTAGAGAATGGATTGCACACACTACTTTTTGAACTTCTGCAAAACTGATTATGCCCTTCACTACTATTAGTGGATTTAAAAAAAACAAAACCTGAGCACTGCAAATCAACAAGCTGGAGACTTAACTGTTCAGTTAAAAATGGTCACAATAAATGACAGGCTCAAAAATCAAAACAGAGCAAGTTTATATCACCTTATTACATAGGAATTAGCCCAGCTATTATATAAGGAATAAAGATTTCAGACCTTTGCAGCCATGGCTTGAATTTAAGAAAGAATTCAAGTGGTGGCTGCAAAGATCCTTCCTTTGCAGATGCAATGAATTCAAGCCATGGCTGTGGCTGCAAAGGAAGAATCAGGAACGTACCTAGAGGGTGCTCCTGGTTCCTCCTTTTGAATTTGGAGTTGCTGTTTTACCTGTCATGTGGTGTCAGGTGATAAGCAACCAGGCAAGTGTGGTTTGGGCCAAACCACATTGTAAGCCAAATGGGGAAGACGGACAGTCCTAATTAGGTCCAGGAGCTGAAGTCTCCCCACCATTGCTGCAAAGGTCTGTGTCCTCAGTTCTCTGCTGACAGGTGGCCTCAGTGGGTTAGCACCTATCCCCAGCTATAGCTGTTTCTGGACTGGAATAGCCCTAGTCCATGTCCTGATAAAAGAGGCCAATTTACCAAACCACACCCACCTGTCCATCAACTGACATCACTTGTGGCATCAGCTGATGGGTGGGAGTATTGGCTGAGGGGGGGGGTGTTCCTAGCAGAGAACAGTTGCTCAAGGGTGTCATGGACTGGCCAAGATGGGACAGTGCAGATGGACAACTGACCAAGTACTTGGGGAAGGGCCCTGGCTGGATGTGGGGGCCTCTGCCAGGAGTGGAGGAATCTGCAAGCAAGGATCCTGGAGAGGCCACTCCCTTGTGTCTCATCCATTGTTGCTACAGGAGCCACGAATTCTGCCTTCCTCTCCATCCCTTACTCACATGCCAAGCTTGTCAGAGCCTCTCTCTGATATGCTCACCTTGGCACGTAAGATATTGGGAGTAGCTCTGCCCAGAGGCTGTTGTTTTACCTGTTCCAGCCACCTCTCAGGAGGCAAACACCTCCCCTGCCACGTAGGCCCAGGAGGAATCAAAAGAGAAGGAAACAGAGTATAGCAAGAGATTGCAGAAACGCTTTCAGCCTTAAGGTGAGCTCACTCCATTCTTATACAGTGGTGCCTCGGGTTAAGAACTTAATTCATTCCGGAGGTCTGTTCTTAACCTGAAACTGTTCTTAACCTGAAGCACCACTTTAGCTAATGGGGCCTCCTGCTGCTGCCGCACCATTGGAGCACGATTTCTGTTCTCATCCTGAAGCAAAGTTCTTAACCCGAGGTACTGTTTCTGGGTTAGCGGAGTCTGTAACCTGAAGCGTCTGTAACCTGAAACATCTAGGATGGACAAGGTGTGGGACAGCATTGGATCAACATCCAGAGCTGTAGCTGTATTAAGGACTAACCATGCATATTGCCTGAAGTGACTTAAGACAGAAATTTGCATATGCACTAGAATAATATAGGGATTAAAGCAGGCTTCCTCAATCTCAGCCCTTCAAATCTTTTGAGGCTACAATTCCCATCATCCCTGACCACTGGACCTGCTAGCTAGGGATCATGGGAGTTGTAGGCCAAAAACATCTGAGGAAGCCTGGATGAAAGCTTTTATAAAGAACTCTCCATCAAGCCTTCAGCAACTAGGAGCCAGGAAAGCAGCAGGATTAAACCCTTGCTTGGCAGATGCCATGCTGTTCAGTTCGGCTGCATCCTGCTCAATTCAGCTGCATGCACCTGTATCTTGTTGGGGACGAAGCACAGACAGCCAAAGGCAAGCCAAAACAAGTACTATTGACTGAGCAAGGGAGAAGACTCTTTTGCAATCACCTGCAAAAAGCAGGTTTCTCCCTTCTTTTGGCAGATTGGCTGTAAGAGAGATGTCTCTCAGATCACACACGATGTCTGTAAAATATAATGGGTGTTGCCAGCCTGAAGTGGAGTGGGGAGGGGGGGGGGAGGTGGCAGAAAGAAAGAAGTCTGTAAAAAGTTTTGCAATGTCAGTGCCAGGGAGCATATGAGGGCTAATTCATATGCACACATATTATCACTTACAAACTGCTTTCTGAAGCTCCACTGAAACTGCTCTCAGGCCAACCAAAACCACTGGCACTCTCCTTATCTTTCTTGACTCCCTGCTGCTTGGAATGCCATGCGCTCTTGGCTGTTCTCTTTCTCCCAAATCACTCATTCAACATTTCTGTAGGAGAGGAAATACTTTCTCGGCTTTCCCCCTCTTTCACTAGTTAAAACTTTTAAACTTTTTCAGCAGGGGGCCAATCCACTGTCCCTCAGACCTTGTGAGGGACCGGACTATATTTTTTGGGGTGGCGGGGGGGGGGGGGATTGAACGAATTCCTATGCCCCACAAATAACCCAGAGATGCATTTTAAATCAAAGGACACATTATACTCATGTAAAAACACCAGGCAGGCCTCACAAATAACCCAGAGATGCATTTTAAATCAAAGGACACATTCTACTCATGTAAAAACAGGCTGATTCCTGGACCGTCCACGGGCTGGATTTAGAAGGCGATTGGGCCGGATCCGGCCCCTGGGCCTTAGTTTGCCTACCTATGAGTTAAACTCTGTAACGCTCTTTATATACTCATCGTACAAGATCACCTCTAGTCTGTCTGCATTTTGCAGGAAGGACTCGGGCACCTACCAGAAATTTAGGTTTGTGCAATTGAAGTGGAACAAAACGCTTGTGTCACCCTGCTGCAACACATCCACTTTAAAACAAATGAACAGTTTGCAGTTAGGAAAGTGACAGTGAAACACACTGAAAAATTAATTAATTAATAAATAGGAACACGTATAACCTCTGTGTAAGGAAACCAAGGAAACTCACTGTCGTATAACCTCCCCACAAACAAATCAGAACAAATGTCCATTATAGACTGCACACAGTTTAACCTCTGTGTACGCTTTCTGCAAGCAAATCAGGATGAATGCCAATGCTAATGCTAATAATGTTATGTTCTTCCAATAAATAATGCTATACCTGGAGCTGATGCAACGCCATATCAGCTGCGTCCATCAGATGCGAGGAAAGAACCAGGCAATCGCTTAAATTGGCTGCCAGGCCTTTGGTGGCTTGTCCTTTGGTGTGAAGATGATAAGCCAATGAGCTGGGCAGGCTTAGGCAGATAAAAGCTACCAGGAACCAGGAACCTGGAACAAAGTCAAGAGCCACATATAGGAAATGGAGGTCACAAAGATCCCTCTGACTTGGCAAATTACTTCCAACACTTTTTTCAGTTTACTGCGCAACATCTTCCTGTCTCTATCAGAAGCATAAAATAAAGAGAGAGAGATAGAAAATGGTCCCAAACTCTCCCCCGCCACCCTCACCATATACAGATACTGCAGTAGCATTACAAAACTTGTGCATTTATTGATAAAGCCCCAAACTTACATAATATATAAAGACCATGTTTAGCTATTGCAGCAGGCAATATTGCACATATATCTGCTGGTACAGCTGATTTAAAAAATCAGTAAAAATCTGAACATGCTATACTATGCTGCGGCTTGCATACAAAACAGGATTATAAGACCGCAGTACATAAAGTCATTAAAAACACTAGGATATCTTGGAAGAATCATACCATTGTTCTTTTTAGAAGTTTAAAGCAAAACTTGGGCACAGTGTCCAAGGACCAATCCTCATAGTCCTTGTTTTGTCATCCTATTCAGGAATGCTGAAGCATGGAGGATCACAAGGTTTTCTTGGGGGGGGGGGGAGCGTAGGTGAGTAATCTGCAGATCATTTGTAATGGGCTGGGTTATAATAACTCCTGCCTTCAAAAAGAAACAAAATCCTAAAGGTGCTAATCCCATCTCTTTCCCTAAGGGTGTGTTCTGAATGCACCAGGCAGCAGTATTTCACAACAAAGTACAGGATACACAAACATTTTGGATAACCTGATGTGAAGACAAATTCAAAATTCAGCACTGGAAACAGCCTAATGAAAGCGCTGGTGACGTGCTGTTTTTATTGGAATTATCCGTATGTTTTTAATAGTTATTTTATATTTATATATTTTTGTAAATTCTATTAATGTGTAATTGTTTTTTTAATGACTCCCCCTATGGTTTTAGCACTTCCTATTGTCTCCCAAGACAGATATATGCCAACAAAAACAATTTTTATCTTAAGCCATATAAAAACTAATAATAATAATAATAATAAATTGCACAATTTTAAATCCACACATACACCAACATATTCTCCCCCCAAAATCCACCTAAACAAGGTGACTTGGCAGTAGTTAATCTTGAACACACTGCTGTACCAGAGAATAATAAACACCACTTTAAACAATGCTCCTTTTTGTAAATCAGCACAGCTCTACAGGATGTAACCCTTACTTCAAGCATCACAACTGACCCCTGGAAGCACCACCGGACATGCTGGCTCCTCCACAGTGGAGAGACGTCAGTGACTCAGTCTTGGCAAGACAGAGGGATGAAGGGAAGAGCAAAAATAGGCCTTAATTTATGCCCTTGATGTTTACAGAGCCAAGGCTTGCCCTTGGAGCATAGAGAGTTAAGAACAGACAAGGGTGCCCCAAAGGAGAAGTCAGGGATTGGCTTTCCAGAGCCTTTACCATTTAATCTCCGCTATCTCTTCCCATGGGGACGCGGGTGGCGCTGTGGGTTAAACCACAGAGCCTAGGGCTTGTTGACCAGAAGGTTGACGGTTCGAATCCCTGTGACAGGGTGAGCTCCCATTGCTCAGTCCCTGCTCCTGCCAACCTAGCAGTTTGAAAGCATGTCAAAGTACAAGTAGATAAATAGGTACTGCTCCGGCGGGAAGGTAAACAGCGTTTCTGTGTGCTGCTCTGGTTCGCCAGAAGCGGCTTGGTCATGCTGGCCACATGACTCGGAAGCTGTACGCCGGCTCCCTCAGCCAATAAAGTGAGATGAGCGCCGCAACCCCAGAGTCGTCTGCGACTGGACCTAACGGTCAGGGGTCCCTTTACCTTATCTCTTCCCATAAGACGAGGCTTGCTGGATCAGACCAGGGTGGCCCATCTATCCCAGCATCCTCTTCTCACAGTGGCCAACCAGATGTCCACAGGAAGCCCACAAACAGGATCTGAGCGCAAAGGTGTCCCCACCTCTTGCGGTTTGCGGCAGCTGGAATTTGGAAGACAGTGGAGCAGCGTTTCCGAAACTTGGGTCTCCAGCTGTTTTGGGACTACAGTTCCCATCATCCCCGACCACTGGTCTTGCTAGTGATGGGAGTTGTAGTCCAAAAGCAGCTGGAGACCCAAAGTTTGCTTGCTTTTTGGAAACACTGCATTGCTGAGTACACCTGCTTCGCTGTTTAAAATTGAGCGCTGGGCGTAAGAGAGAAACTTTTATCCGGCTCTTTTAAAGAGGGAGATAACACCGAAGAGCTTAAACTTCAGACAACTCCTCTCGGTAGCTAAGCAGCTTCCTCGCTCCTCTCCTGGCTCAGCACCAGACCCCCGACTCGTCGCGCTCTAGCCCCGCCGCGATTTGCATATCGGACGTGATTGGCTGAAACGGGGTCCGCTAAAGACCACTCACCTGGAGAAGTGGGTCCGGCGCTGCTGCTCTGGCGCATCTTGGCTGCTCTTTCCAAACTGCTGGCTGGAGGTGTTGCTTCGAAAGGGGCGCCAATGGTCTTGCTACCGTCTCCGCTGCCTGGGGCAGCCTTTATAAGCCAGCGCGTTGGAAATGGATTTCCCCCTTTTTCTCTTTCTCCCTCAGCTTCGGCTGACTCATCGGTAGAACTTCACCTTCATTCATTTTTCTGGGTGGGAATTTTGCGCGGCTTTCCGCGCCACCCGCTGCGTAGGCTTTTCTTCCAAACAATCCCGAAGGTGCGAAAAGAAATAAATAAATTTCGTTTGCTATCAGTTCCAAGTATCGCTGGAATTGATTGACAGATGGAAGGAGAGAGCTTCCCGCAGCAAGTCGAATATGCTGCCATGCCCAAAGGCAATATTTGACGACAGGGCGTTTCGCAGAGCTGTTTCTTTGGGACTCATGGCATGTTCGATGCGACTTGGGCTGTGTGTATACGCTATGTAACTTTACTGTGGCCAGATTTCTTTTAGGAGGAAAATAATAATAATAATAATAATAATAATACCTTTATTGTCAATGTACAACCTGTATACAATGAAATTAACTGGGCCTCCCTCCCTCCCACAAACACTCGGTCTCATTGCACTCTGTGTGCTTGTTGCACAACAGACACCAATCCCAAAAGTCACATTGAAAATGTGTTTTCAATGGGCTTTAAAAACGTAAGTGTGTAAAGGATTGCAGCTTGATAGTGTGAGCCTATGCAGATCACAGAATCATAGAATTGGAGAGTTGGAAGGGACAGAGGCGTAGCGTGTGGGGTGCAGGGGGGGCCGGCCGCACTGGGCGCAACATCTGGGGGGGGCGCGCTCGCACTCGCAGCTCTCTGCCCCTACCTGGCTCTCTCACTCTCTCTCACTGCAGTGCTGGCTGTGCGAATCCGATCCGAGCCGCTGGGTCGCTGCCCACTGTGGAGGGGGTGGGTGCCAGGCGTGCGGTGCGGAGAGAGAGCGAGGGACTATCTGGGGGAGGGACAGTGCAGCGGCCGCCCAGCACAGCGCTGAGCGCGGGAGAGAACCACACCAGACCAGCCCAGGCAGCAGCAAGAAGAAGCTGGCAGCGGCGGCAGGTTAGGGGGCGCAAATTACTTGCCTTGCCCCGGGTTAGGGGGCGCAAATTACTTGCCTTGCCCCGGTTGCTGACAACCCACGCTACGCCGCTGGGAAGGGACCCGGAGGTCAATCCAACCCTCTTCAAAGCAGAATAAATATATACTCAGAAGGAAGCCTCAATTGAGTTTGATGGGACTTACTCTGAGGAAACTGTATGTAGGATCAAAAGCATATTATTAGAGAAGTTAGGCACAGGTTGCATCCAGACAATCTCTTTATTGAGCATTTATCCTGATTTGTTTGCACAAAGTTTGCAAGGACATCATGCAGCTTCCCATCAAGCGTTATCTCACACAGTTTCCAGTGCATTTCCCCCATCACTTTCTTTACTGCAAAAACTCCATTGAAGAAAAAAAGGGGGGGGGGAAGCAGGTTAGTTGTGCAAAAGCACCGAATTCACTTCAATTGTGAAAACTGAATTTGTGGATATGTGATTGGATCCCAGTACTGAAGTGGAGAAGCAACCTTCAGTGGCTAAGCCACCATAGAGCCACCACAGGCGTTGCTTGCATGCATTGCTGTGGGATCTGGCTGTCTCCCTTTGGATGGTGTGATGGTTATATAGTCTCTGGGTACCTGTCCATTCCATCTGGAAGTTGGCCCAATCCTAACCAGGTGTGCTACACCTTTTGCCATCTCACAATTACATACCTGGCAGTATTCTCCATTTATCTCAATGAGGAGGATTGTATTGCCCAAAAGAGATGGATGCAAGCTGGTTCCCCCAACCCAGGTTTTTCTGTAACATGCTATTGAGTCAATAATAGTAAGCTAGTGGTGGGTTTATCTAGACTATCCACACATTGTTCCTCTTCACTTGTTATTCTGCAATGTGTTCCTGCATTTTTGCCAGCTGGAGCGGCACTCTTGCACCAGAATGTAACAAAAGCTAGACACTGACCTGGAACATTCATGAAAAGTTATCGGGCTTTTATCCTCAATTAAGAACATTCATACATAAACAGAAATAGCACAAGAGAAGCTTGAGGCAGTTTTAAGGCCAAACCACATGCCATGTGGGAGATCTGTGATTTATAGACACACATTCCAATTTGAATGGAGCAGCAGCAGTGGTGTGTGTGTGTGTGTGTGTGTGTGTGCGCGTGCGCGCACGCAAATAATCCTTCCTATCTCATCCCATTCCCTGTATCTAAAATGCCCTGCAGCTGCTGTAAGCCACAGTGAGGAAATGTAGGTATGATGATATAGACATCTGTATCTTGCATGCTACAGGCATAAAACCAGTTTTGGTTGGAACAATTAAGACCCCCCCCACCTTGGTTTTACAGTTAAATGTACATTAAATGTGCACTTACTGTTTTAATTTTGTAGTTTGCTTTTTTATTTTTTTGTACACACAGTGGGTTTCTTTTTTTAATGGTGGGCAGTTCATAAATTCTATAAATAAATAAAACTCCCTTTTCCCCATATATTTCTAAGGTGATGAGTTTACAGTGTGCTGTTTAGGTGTATTAATTGAAAGATGTATTAATACTGTTTGTAGATGTATTAACTGCTGTAAATTTATTAACTGAAATGAAAAAAAAAAGGAATGCAAAATTGTCTATCTCCAGCTGGGAAGGCTAGTCAAGGTCTGGGTCCTTTTTCATTTTTATTACAGGGGGCTTTTACCTTTTATCATAAAATAAGCACTAAATAGTTGGATTCAGTATGCTTGAGGATTTGGTAAAAAAAAGGGAGTAGCATCTACTAATCTTTCTATCTTTTTAAATTTGTATCAGTGCAATATGGAAATGCTACACTTTTCACAATGCAAATTCATACTCAGAATTGGAGTCACATTGTGTGATGTGGCATTGGCATGTTGTGTGAAAATGTATAAAATCCCAATGTTGTCCTTGAACCATACATTAAAGGTAAAGGTAAAGGGACCCCTGACCATTAGGTCCAGTCGTGACCGACTCTGGCATTGCGGCGCTCATCTCGCTTTATTGGCCGAGGGAGCCGGCATACAGCTTCCGGGTCATGTGGCCAGCATGACTAAGCCACTTCTGGCGAACCAGAGCAGCGCACGGAAACACTGTTTACCTTCCCGCCGGAGTGGTACCTTGCACTTTGACGTGCTTTCAAACTGCTAGGTTGGCAGGAGCAGGGACCGAGCAATGGGAGCTCACCCCATTGCGGGATTTGAACCGCCGACCTTCTGATCAGCAAGTCCTAGCTCTGTGGTTTAACCCACAGTGCCACACATTGCAAACATACATTTCAGTTCCACTTGATTGTGGGTATGACAGGGCTAGGAAGAGAGTTAATTCCTAAATTATCTTGAATTGTGAGGACTGATTTTTCCGCTTCAAATATATGTATCGTGGCAACAAAGTGAGTTCTGTGGTTTTAACTTATCTATTTACCTGTTCAGTGTTAGTGGGCCAGATAGCTGTACAATGCACTACAATTTGACAATGAAATACCAACTTTAGTACACATGTTCAGGATGCAATTCAACGTTTTAAAGTCATACAGCAAGGCTCACTTTGATAAGCTGCAGTACAGAGTTCCCAACTAAACCCTGTAGGGTGGTCAAACGTGGCAGGGCTTGCTATCAAATTCAGAACTTACCATTACCCTGTCACTTCCCATGTCACTGGTGGGGAAATCCAATCTTTACTGCAGAATCAGAGCAAATGTCAATTGGGTTTTATCCTGATTGATATTTGCTTCAATTTATTGCTTAAGAGTGGTTTCCTGGGGGAAGTGGGAGGGCAAGGGCAAAACCACGCAGACCTATGCCTAGGAAGCTTAGGACAAGTGGGAAACTGCTTGCACCTGTGTTTTCTAGGCTTGGGGCAAGCACAGGTCTGGATGAGCCCTTAGTCAGCTGATTGGTGCTTGCAGCAAGCGTCTCTTGCCAATAGGGAGCATAAATTAAGGCTATCAGTTGCTCCATCGCATACAACGCAGGGAGAACAGCTTCATAGGCCAAATTAGGACCCCCATGAGATCTAATTGGTCCATGAGCAGGTGGCACTAAAACATGTAAAGCAATATCTCACTACTGCTAACAACCTCCTTAAATCTTTCTAATTGACATCACTGGTATTTTAACTCTTGATGCACTGTGCATGTCAAAATGTAGCATTAGAAGTGAGACTTATCAATCATTGTGATAGTATATGTGATCAGCTGATGCTTATATATTCATCAGATATAAGTAACGGACACTCCTAAATTCTTAACTATGAGACAAACAAGCAAGGAAGATGCAGGTTGGTACAGTTTCAGTTCATCTACTACAAGTAGTAGAAATGGGGAAGTCCCCAATTATCATTCATTTCATAACACTTTTGGAGTTCAGTGGGTTTGCATTCTGTCCACATCAGGCAGTAGGATTCAACATCAGTGAAAATGAATTTGAGAGGACATGAATAACCAGGTAGATCTCTATGAGAGATAACCTGACTGGCTCCATGTTGTCTTGGGCTTTCTGAGTCAATCCCCAAACCTTAAACTTGGCCTTGCAGCAAATTAGCAGCTAGTGAAGTTCTTCCAATCAGTAATTTAAAAAAACCACCCATAAAATTGCAAACTACAGAGACAATTAGGTAAGAGCCTGGTAGTAAATTGGCAGCCAATGACATCTTTCCAGTTAGGAATTAAAACAGCCATAAAGGCACAAATTACTGGTGCTATTAGGTAACCATCAGTGACAAAACTGCAGCAGCACCCAAGACAATCTGTCACTACCAAAAGCCAAGCCTTCATCATACCATCAGAAATGAGCAGGGATTGGGTCAGTTGGGTTTCCTGGTAGAAAGCATTACAAGGATACTGCTCCCAATCACAACTTTTCGCCCACAGCAAATAGCAGCCATTGGAGCCCCCAGTCTGGATTCTGAATACA